TCTGCCCCTACTTCTAACAGCCGGTTTAACGGTGTTAGTTGTAGAGAAAAATGGTATTTATACCCTTAGTGGTTATTGTATTTTTGCCCCTATTTTTTTTTCCAGATTGTGTGATTCTGTACCTATTGACTATTGTGTGACCGTGACTGTGAGAGGAGGAAGCTAAGCCAGATTCGGGCGCTTCTTCTATGTGTGCCTGTGTGGTGAGAGAGGCCGAGGCTCCCGATGCAACGGCATGGCTGAGAGGCGGTGGATCGGAGGTCTTGCTGGCAGCCGCCGGGATGGAGGAGTTGCTCTTCGTCGCCGTCCGCATGTCTTCACGCTGCCTCACCAGATCTGGCGGCAACACGAACCGGCGCCACCGGATCCTCTCTATGCTCCAACCATGCCATATCTGCATGGCGGCAATACGAGGGAGAGGACGGAGACGGCGGCGCCAGAGGTCTTGCCGGGGGCGGTAGGGATGGAGGATGCGCCGCCGCTGGATCCCCTTCTCTTTTCTCTCGACATGCGCTTTGGCTCTTTGCCACCGCGTGAAAGCCCTGCAGCCGCCGCCCCCACCGCGTGGAAGCCCCGCCGGAGCGCCGCGCACGCCCGCCCGTCCTTGCTGCCGCTGGCGCGCGCGCCTACATGTCCTCAACGGCGCTGCCGCGCCGCGTGCCCGCCCTCGCCGCCGCTGCCCTGCCACGCGCCGCCGATAGGTTAGGATTTCAGGTTGGGAGGAGAGGGATTCAATCCCTATCCATTCACTTAGGGTACAAGGGTAAATTAATATTTTATAAAACCTTTTTTTAATTTTTTTATTTCTTTAACACAAAACGTGGGACCCACTAAACGGCTGTTAGAAGTGGGGGTAAACGACTTGTTCAGATTTAAAAAGTGTGAATAAAACTGTAAACCCTAAAATTTACGGGTAAAACAGTAGTTAGGTTTAAAAGTAAGGGCATAGATGTAATTGTTCAAAAAGAAAAATGAAAACGAAAATGAATCAACTTGTGATGGGCCAGACACAGGTGCTACTTCTACCCATGAGGCCATGACGAAATGACGATTGACATGATGAACAACCTTTGGTTACTCCAAGGGGCTACTACTAGATCTTCCAGGAATTCTAGGTAGCAATGGGGTGTGTCCCCCAGCCCCACTACTTGAGAATTGATATTTGCAATCTGGTTGTTATTAAAATCGGGATTAAAAATCAAACTAATTGGACTGTAAATCAACAGAATTGATCGATGCCACGCATAATTGAAGACCACGATGCACGGCTCGATCCTAGCCATTAATGAATATAGAAAATGCTAGAATGACTTATATTGTAAAACGGAGGAAGTATATTATATATATCTTCCATATCCTATAGTTTCTTATTTCCTTCATTTCACAATGTAAGTTATTATAGCATTTTTTATATTTATATTTGATGTTAATGAATCTATTCTGGAACGGATGGAGTACTATTTTGTTATACTGGTACTTAGCATGCTATTGGGTTCAAATATCATTCCGCTAGGGATCTAATCAGCTACTAGAACGCATATATATCCTTTTCCTAACCATTCATATCCATCACTGCACGCCGGTTATATAAGCTATCAGTTGCTAGATTACTCCAGATGATGTGCACATTATCTTTTTCATAACTACCACTAGCAAGATATTTATATTGCTAGCTAGAATAATCTGCCACCGATAATGATAAGAACGTACGTGCAGTACATCCAGCTAGCTGAAGTGGACCAAGGCCTTGAAGTGGACTGAGGCCGAGTTTTGTTTCGAACTTTTAACTTTTTTATCACATCAAAATTTTTCTACACACATAAACTTCTAACTTTTTTCTTCAAACTTTCAATTTTAACGTGAAACTAAACACACCCTAAGTTTTCATAACCAAATGGAATAAGTGCGTACACATCACGAATTCTAGGTGCAGATGGCACGTCGCTGTAGTACGTATAGTATGTCGACATGGCCGGCCCGACACGTCGGCCCCGCTACGTACGTGGGTCCCCCCGAGCTCCCCCGCGCGGCGCCGTATCTGACCGCTGGGCCTATATGGCCAGTGTTTAGGTTAGGCAATGGCAATGTTTTTTCTTTGCGACAATGTTAATAGGGGCTGTTTAGTTCCAAAAACTTTTCCCAAAAATATCACATCGAATCTTTGAACATAGATAAAAAAAAAATTAATTGTACAGTTTACAGTAAATCGCGAGACGAATCTCTTGAGCCTAATTCGTTGTCGGTATGTGGGTGGTGTTATATTTTTTCCTTTTTTCCTGGTTACGACCCTCCAGGGTTATAATCTTAGTAATTTTTTCCTGCTTTATCAATAGAACTTCGTGCGAGTCGTTAAAAAAATTAGTCTATAATTAGCCATAAGTGCTATAGTAACCCATATGTGCTAATAACGGCTTAATTAGGCTCAAAAGATTTGTCTCACGGTTTCCAGGCGAGTTATGAAATTAGTTTTTTTTATTCGTATCCGAAAACCCATTCCGACATCCGGTCAAATGTTCGATGTGACACCCAAAAATTTCCAGTTTACTAACTAAACAGGCCTAAACAGTCTTAATAATCTGCAGTTACCATTTACACGAGACTCTGTCCCACTGAGCTAGATGTAATTTTGTGGGCTTATAAACAAGTTACACGAATATTATAATGTAATTATAATTAAAATTAAAATTGATGGATTTTTTTATAAAATACGATCAAATGATACATAGCCAGTCCGACTAATCTAACTAGAGTTCGTATCAAGGGAAGATCTAACCCTGACAGTGGCATCCACTGATTGGGCAATTTGGTTTGTGGAGCCCTACCAAAAAGTTCTAAAAATCTTTGGGTGGCACTCCAAATTTGATTGGGCAAATTGCTACTCCGTACTACACTACTACCTAAGAGATGGTGTTGGTAAATATTGGCACCAATCCAAATATCTAGAAATACTATTGAAAATTGGTAAGGGATTAGTAAGACACAATTTGGCACCAAGTTATCTTTGCAAAGATAGCCTAAGAACTCTCCCGAGTATGCACGTTAGTGCGTACGTAGTAATGTAGCAATTTTATCGGAGGATTCATGAAGGCGTCGACGTTTCGACGGCGATGGCTGCCGAAAACAACAGACAGAAATGGGTAACATGGGTCACTTGTTCATGTGCAATGGCCATTACGTATTTACGTGTGCTCGGACGTTTACCTTTAATTTGCACCATCAAAGATGTGTGGATCGATCAAGACGTACACAGACTCGTGGACGTTTTCTGTGTAACATCTGTGCGCATGGATGGAGTTTTACCGAACAGTGGCATCTGGTTTAGGATAGAGTGCCCAACTAGCTAGAGAGGATGGTATTCATGGATTTGCTCCGTATGCATAAAAAATTTGGTAGCTCTGGTTTCCATGAAAAAAATTGTCATGTGTTTGATTATCTGTTCTATGAAAAAGGTAAATTACCTAACAATTACCGGACCCCTGCAGCTGAAGAACGGATTAATCAGGGTAACGCTCGATCGTGATCTAGATCTAAGGAATAAAACATGGATGGGTCCAAATCCAAACAGCACAGGGTGGACCTACCAGCGCAAGATAGTCGCGAAGTCCGTGAGTGAGATCATCTGCACCTTAGCTAGCCGCCATTGATGTTTATCCACAATTGATTTTGGTTTCTAGCTCCCAATCATGTCCGTCTCCTTATCACGCCAATCCAAATGGTGAGTGGTCATGGACCACTCACTCTTACCTGATCAGTATTCCTCATGGTAATTTACAAATGAATCACACTGTTCCTCACCCCAATAACCACTAGTAGCTCGGAGAGTCTCGGACGCAATGGCTACGACTCGATAGATAGATGATGATGCATCATGTATTTTGTCCGTTCACCTGACTGAGTAGTATCTGACACGGACGAGGGAGAGGTTTCACACATTGTTAAATAATAAAGCAATTAGGTTTAAAAGATTTATCTCACAATTTACATGTAATATATGTAATTAGTTTTTTTATATTTAATACTCTGTGCATATGTCTAAATATTCAATGTGATTAGCATGAGAACGATGAGGTTTCAGTCCAGTACACCACCACAAGTTTACAGCGCGGCGCGAGGTGGTTATAACGGAGAGGCCCGAGAAGTCGCGGGTTCTGGAAGCTGTCAGCTTCCGTCGACCGAACGACCAAGCAGCCGCCGCGGCTGGCGGCTGCCACTCGCTTTGTGACGTGCAAGAGATTTCGGCGTGCGTGGCGGCGATCCACCGGACCAGTCCAAACGCCAAGCTAGCATACGGGCGGATATCTTTGCTTGCACTTGGACGAGTACAAGTATTTGGATCCTTGCTAGCATACGACCGGCTCCCGGTGCGCCACACACGTCTCAAATACGGTAATGCAAGAGTACTCTATCTCCGTTTTAAAAAAAAAAACTCTATCTCGATATGTTTGGTTGATTTCCACACTAATAACTACTCTACTAGTTATACTTTTCATTTAAATGGATCCACTTATCATTGATTCAGTTTTGTAGCTAAGCCAAATTCAAGCGTGGCTAACGTTTTACGAGCCACAACTTAACTACTACTAAGTGATGGTGTGGCAAATTTAGCCATCATTTAAACCTAGTTTGCTGTGATAGAAGGGAAACACCGGTGATGTGCCGGGAGGCACGTGTGCTCCCTCGTTGATGGGGGCAATCGGACACGTAATATACCACTGCCGGTGTGCACTGTGGAGCCGCATCAACCAACGACGGGACACACCCCAGCCTAGCTGGAAGCAACGGATTCGGTCATATTTTTTCGCAAACCGCCACTACCCCACGGTTGGTAAGCCCATCACCACCCCCCGCCGCACACAGAATTAGCCTCCCGTCCCGCCCCCCGTCCCCCGGTGGTGGCCCGCGCCGTGGGCACACCCAGCGCGCGCGGGACGCCACACCCGCACGGTGAATATTCAAATATGGAGCACCGCACAATAACGTTATCCAGCCTAGTACAGTCCCGCGTGTAGCTCTCCCCGCCCTCTCGCCGCGCGCAGGCGCAGCTAGGCCGCTCTCTCAGCGTGTGCGCGTCGCACGCAGCAGTGGCCGGTTGGGACTGGGCGCGAAAGGGAATCCCGGGCAGGGGGGAGGGGAATGGGCAGCCTGCCCTGCCCGCGGGGCAGCTTAGCGCTCCTCCACTATAAAACGGGCGCCAAGGTCAGGATTACGCAGTTTTGCCGCCCCGTTTCTTCTCTTCTTCCATCTTCGTCATCTTCCTCCTCGACTCCTCGTTATATTAGGTATATAAAATAGCCTTTCTTTTCTTATCCTTTTTAGTTTTACGGAGTAATTGATTTGCAACTCTTCACCTGAAACTCTCTTGATAAATGGGATTTTGATACTGGCAGTACTAGTAAATGGAATTGAATTCTTTGTTAGTACTACTACTGGTAGTACTTTGTACTGCTCGCTTTGGGTAACCGCCAATTCAATCCACCATGGATTGGCTGGCTTGAACGGGAAGCTGAAGAATTAATTCATGGCGGAATCATGTTTTGATTGCTCTGCGTTTAGAGAAGAGATCTCTGACGTTACTGACCCCAAGATTAAACTCATTGATTTTATGTTTATGTACGCATTTATTGTATTCGTACCACTACCAGCTTGCGCCTATAGAAGCTCTGCGAATTCTTGATCGAGGCCTCATCTTCTTCTCTTTGTCGCAGCTCTCGCAGATCAGATCGGAGACGAAGAAGATGGCGTCCAACTACGTCGACACCACCGGCGACGAGGGCAGGTTCCACGGCCACCACAGCACCAACACCACGCCGACGGGCGCCGCGGCGTCGTCGCCGAGGACGATGCGCCGGAGCTTCTCCAACGCCTCCTCCGGCAGCCACGGCGGCGGCGGCGGCGCCAAGTGCGTGTGCGCGCCGGCGACGCACGCCGGGTCGTTCAAGTGCCGCCTCCACCGCACCAACTCCCAGGGCCACGGCCACGGCCACCCGCACCCCTCCCCTCCCACCTCCCCGGCCGCCGGCGGCGCCTCCGCCGCGCCCCGGCCGTCCTCCGCCTCCTCCCGCACCGTCGAGGCCCAGTGACCCCTGACCTCCCCGGCCGCACCAAGAAACCAACCAACCAAGAAGAGGAGGAGAATCAGAGTGGGGGAGAAGAGAGTAAAAAAGAGCATCGCGTATCATATCATCGGAAGGGAGTTTATTTTTGATTTCCCTCGTTGTGATCTCCATGTTCTTGGAAGATTTTTCTTCCATTTTTCCTTTTCTTTTTCTTCTTCTTCTTCTTCCTTCTTTTGGCTTTATGGGATCTCTCCTACTACATGGCCAAACCTTCCTCTTCACCATGATGAGAAACTCCAAATCATCCCCTGCTCGAATCAGCTCCACTGGCTAGTAGCTGCTACTTCTCCTCCCTCTATTATTATAATCTATTGGATGATGATAAGCTGATAAATGGAAAGATAAGGGTTACCCTTCTGCTCTACTATGTAATTACTAGTACCATTTTACCATCCTATTGATAATCCAATCCCCACCTGGTTGATTGAGTTCTTGTCTGAATTTTAGTGATGTTCTTGAAAGTACTCCTAATTTGTTGGTTAACAGAATACCAGTGTGGGTAGATTCAAGAGCGGTATCTGCAATTGTCATCACTGCATTTTTTATGTTTTGGGTGAAGAGGTCGTCAGCTGTGATTTGCAAGGAATTGTCGCAATCTAGATAGTACTAGATACTATCTTCGTTTTTGTGGGTGGCGAGTAGCCATTGGTGATGGAGAAGGACGATCGTGACCGTTTTGGTGCGTTTGTTGCTGGGTCATTTCTAGCCGAATTCCCGGTTCTTGCCTGGGCAGATATATATGGGTTTGGGGACTAGGGAGTGTGTGTTGTTGTGTTCGTCAACCGTTATAGTTTTGTGTTTTTTGTTGATATTTCTTTCTCATCCAGGTTTCTCCTGGGTAAGGTAATTCAGGATGCTGACAACAGTGGCCAAAATGAGATCAGAATCATCAGATAGATAGATAGATATTCCTCAGTGGGTGAAAAAACTTGAAAGGTGAAGCCAAAGGCAGATCTTTACCACTACTACGCGGTAAAAACACATGGGCACACATGACCGGCAACATCCTCAATTCTTGCATCGCACCACCGTGCTGTGATGATGATGATGATGATCACGACAAGGACCGAGGGAGACGGACGTAGTGGTTGGCCTGGCTGCTGGTTGCCATGCCACTGCCATACATAAGCATAGGCATATGACCTATTCTGTTGCAGTCTACTTCCGTTCCACACAAAATAACCTAGAAGAGCACATACCCTATTTAGATTCGTTGTGTTAGGCGATGTCTTATCCATTTATAGATAAGTTTTTCTTCTAGGTAAGTTTTTCCTAGAACGGAGGAAGACAGTAGTTTCGAGACTACAAGAATCAGATTCTCTACCTTGCTACTCTTTGATTTTAAGTGACCGATATATATAGACTTCACAACTTATGGATAGGCATATCAATGACCCACGTTACACAATAGTATGTCAAAGGAGTTTTCTTTGCAAAAGATGGGTCTCTATCATCATCAACAACATCGGCTCATCGTCATGTGGCGGTGGTTACGATGGGGATTGATCATTGGCCCGTCTTCTTTTCTTTGCATCGACTCGACAAGCTGTTTGCTGCTGATCGAATGTTGTGTACGCGCGGTGGCGTTTATTGAGCAGATATTTTGCACCTAACCGGAGATTTGGACGTTGCGGTAGGGCCGGGTGGGTGAACTGCTCGGAGCAGGATGATAATTGATAAGAGGAGGTACAATAGCAGGCTATAAACCAGCTATAAACATATTTTAAAGAGATAAAAAGAAGAAAGAAGAGCAGTGGGCAACAGATTTGTAGCCAGCTACAGCACGGACTCCAAGACATAATGTGTGTATGATAGGTGGGACCAGATATCTATTATATTATTAAGGAAAAAGTACGAATTACGCCCTCCCCCGAACTTTCGCGGTCGTCCGAATTACCCCCTCGAACCACAAAACCGGATATTCTTCATCCCCAACTATGCATACCGGACGAAATACCCCTCTCGACTCAATCCGCGGTGGTTTTGGTATACGTGGCGTACACGTGGCAGTCCAGTCAACATTCTATTTAAAAAAATTTGTGGGACCCTGCATGTCATACACTACTCTCTCTCACTTCTCACTCTCACTCTTCCTCTCTCTCTCTATCACCGTCTCATGGCGAGAGAGGCAGGGGGCGAGCGAGATGGAGGCGGCGCGCGGGGGCGGGCGGTGGGCGGCGGCGCGCGGAGGCGGGCGGTGAGCGGCGGCGCGAGACGAGGCGGGCGGTGGGCGACGGCGCGAGCGAGGCGGAGGCAGCGCGCGGGGCGGGCAATGGGGCGGGCGGCGCGCGGGGGATGGGTGGGCGGCGCGCGGGGAGGGCGGGCGATGGGTGGGCGGCGCAAGAGGAGGCGGCGGCGCGAGCGAGGCGGCGATGCGAGACGAGGCGGATGCAGCGCGCGGAGGCAGGCGGTGGGCGGCGGCGCGAGACGAGGCGGATGCGGACCGGTGGACCAGCACGACAGCGTCGGCGACTAGCGCGACGCGTACACTGCCGCCGACACTCCGTGTCCCCCCTGCCTCTCCGCCGCCCTGCCCCGCCGGAGAGGGAGGCCGACGCCGACGAGCTCCGCGCGCGCGCCGAGCGGCTCCGGCGCTGCAACCGCCGGAGAGAGAGGCCGACGCCGACGCCGAAGAGCTCCGCGCGCGCGTCGGGCGGCTCCGGCGCTGCAACCGCCGGAGAGGGAGGCCGACGCCGACGCAGACGAGCTCCGCGCGCGCGCCGGGTGGCTCCGGCGCTGCAACCGTTGGAGAGGGAGGCCGACGTGCTGCGCGCGCGCCAACGCACACCTCCGCGCCGATGCCGCCGCCCCCGCGTCACCGTCCGCCGCTGTCGTCGTCGTCCTCCTGCTGTAGCGCGCAGGCATGGGCATCGTCGTTGGCGGCGATGTTGGCGCGCACGAGGCAGCCGAGCTCCATCTTGGCGCGGGGCCGGAGCGCCGGGGCGTGGGTGACCAGCACGGCGGCGCCGCAGCTCCGCGCCGAGGCCGCCGCCCTCAGCCGTCGCCCCCGCGTCACCGTCCCCCGCCTGCCGCTGACCAGAGTGAGAGAGAGAGAAGAGAGAGGAAGAGTGAGAGAGAGAGAGGAAGAGTGGAGGATGAGTATGACATGTGGGTCCCACAAACTTTTTTAAATAGAATGCTGATTGGACTGCCACGTGTACGCCACGTACGCCAAAACCACCGCGGATTGGATTGAGGGGGGTATTTCGTCCGGTATGCACAGTTGGGGGTGAAAAATATCCGGTTTTGTGGTTCGGGGGGGGGGGGTAATTCGGACGACCGCAAAAGTTCGGGGGTGGGGTAATTCGTATTTTTTCCTATTATTAAAGGAATAGAAAAAAGAGCCTCTACGTTCGCTTTCATGGCCTAGAAATTCCGATAATGCTCTTCGTCGGTCGACCGACGGGGGAGCAAAAAGATCGGGCGCTCCCCCGCGGCCCCGCCCCCGCGCGCAGTGATATTGTTAGGCCCCACCACATTACCTGCCCCCACCTGCAACAAATCAAACACATATTTTGTAAACCCTCTATTAAGGGAATTTGGTTTATTTTTTGTTGCACCAAAAATGTTTCACCTAATGTACTCACAATGTTTCACTATGTATAGATCTAATGTTGCAGTGAACGAAACATTCCATTGCAACAAAATAACCCACATATTTTGGAACCCCCTATTAAGGAAATTTGGTTTATTTTTTGTTCCACCGAAAAATGTTTCACCTAGTGTACTCACAATGTTTCACTATGTATATATCTAATGTTGTAGTGAACTGAAATATTATTTCGCTATTTGCTGAAATATTGTTTTTATATAAGGTGAAACAACACCTGATTTAACCGAGTGAAACATTTTCGATCTACTTAGTGAAACAATTCCGGTATACCTGGTGTAACATCGTGAAACATTTAAAAATAATTCAATAATAAGTTAAAAAAAATTCCGTCAGAATATATCCATGTGTGGTCTTGTTTTGAAGATTTAATTGCAACGAATTTAATGGTACAATCGGATCATGATTTGGATAAGTAATTTAAGAGAAAAATCAGTTTAAAATAGTTTTGCACGTAAATCGGGCGCTGATGTCATGCTGACGTCAGCGCCTGATTTCCCCTGCTCTCCATCGGGCGACCGACGTGTAGTCGCGTCCTAGAAATTCTCACATTAATCGGAGAAAAAGAAAAAGCAGAGTCCATATAGAAATACAATTTAGAAATAGTTGAAATTCGGAATTAAAAATAAGGAATATTAGAAGAAGAGACTAGAGTCCATATAGAAATACAATTTAGAAATAATTGAAATTGGGAATTAAAAAATAAGAAATATTAGAAGAGCATACTAGAGTCCATATAGAAATACAATTAGGAAATAATTGAAATTCGGAATTAAAAATAAGGAATAAGGAATATTAGAAGTAGAGTATAGAGTCCATATAGAAATACAATTAGGAAATAATAGAAATTACAATTAGGAAATAATAGAAATTCGGAATTAAAAATAAGGAATATTAGAAGTAGATTATAGAGCCCATATAGAAATACAATTATGAAAAAAAATAGAAATTCGGAATTAAAAAATAATGAATATTAGAAGTATAGTATAGAGTCCATATAGGAATTTAAAACTAACTAAAATTCGGAATAAACATAATAAAATTAAAAGTAGAGTTTCGAGTCCGTATAAAAATACAATTTACAAATAACTAAAATTCGAAATTAAGAAAAACATGGAAAGAAGAGTTTAAAGTCAATATAGAAATACAATTTAGAAGTAACTGAAATTCGAAATTAAAAATTAAAGAATATTGAGAGATGAGTTTAGAGTCCACATAGAAATACAATTAGAAATAATAAAAATTCAGAAATAAAAATAAATATTATTGGAAGAAGAACCTAGAGTCTATATAGAAATACAATTTACAGAAAATTCAGAATTAAAAAAAGAAATATTAAAATACGAATCTAGAGTCCATATAGGAATATATATAATTTACAAATAACTAAAATTAGATATTAAAAATAATTAATAACTAACACGTTTATAAAATATAATATGAATATTACATATTTATAGTTTTGTAAAGTTATTGTAAAATTTAAAATTATGATGTCATTCTAATATATTTGAATAATATAATGAGAAAACATATATGCTATTATATAAGAGAAAATATAATGATGCTAGCCGCGTAGATTACGCGGACCACCATGTTAGTTAATAGTATAGTAAGCAACTATTGTATGAATTGGCTATTATATTGGTTAAGATAATTTGAAGCTAGTAGTGGGCTGTACTGTTAAACTTGCTTTAAGAGAGGATGGGCGAAGAGCAGTGAAACTGTCAATCCCTTTCACTTGGGCTGTGGCTAGGCGCCTAGGCTGACAGCGGTAGAAACAATGGAAACAAATGGAGGAGATGGCTGCGATTGCCAATATACAGTATAATCTGTAATACAGCAGCAGTGGGGCTGCAAGCCTGCAACTTAGCCAAAACTGTGTTGGATGAGTCACTCTGCTAATATGCTATTAGCTCTTTTTTTAATAGATGATGCTGTTAAATTTTTGTTACACGTTTTATCATTCGTCTTATTTAAAAATTTCTTGTTATGAGTTGTTTTATAGTATTTGAAGTACAATTTATATCTTATACATTCGTATAAAATTTTTGAATAAAACAAATGATTATATATGTGTTTAAAAGTCAATGACATCATATATTAATAAAACGGATCTATTAATAAAACGGAGGGAGTATTACTACAGTCAATAGAGTGAGCAGTAGAATGGACTGGCAGCGTGCACAAATTGATGACCTAAAATCGGTTCCCGCCAATCTTTGCTCATCTATCGGTTCCCGCCAACTTTTGCTCAGGTAGTCAGGTGGTGGATTATTTACAGGTCGATTAACAGTTTAACACCAACATAACTCAGGTGAGTTCACGTGGAATTTGGACGCTTTTTCAAGGTGGTTGAACAATCTAAGGAGACAACAGAAAAAACACGCACAAATTGGAGTCGTTTTACGTGACGTGTTGATGTGCCCAAGCCATAAATACTTTTTTAGTTTCAATAATTAGTAAGTGACTTTAAAAATCTCATTTGCACAAGTAATATCTATGATCTACATAAATTTTGAACGGATGGAAGTGTAATGGACCTTAAAAGTACTACTTTTAGAACTTAAATAACATTCTTGATACACCATTTTTGTGGATATATTATACTCCATTTCGCTCATTATGGAATTTATTACTAGTTCAAAATATTTGATAAAAAAGTTCAGCCTTAAGCCATATTGCTCCGTCAATTAACATGTCATCCCAAACCACTCTATTAGGGTGGTCAAGGATGAAAAGTTAACGGTTCTATATTTTACATACTCATGACAAGCCAGTAAAAATCTCGTGTCAGATTTAAAAATTGAGCATGTAATCTCAAATGTGACTACCACTATATCCATTTCACTAGTACACGGGGAAATCAGGGTCTACATCTTGTGCCCAGGACTGCAAGCCACCGATTATGTCCTTTGCAGAAAGAAACCCCTTCTCCCGTAGAAGCTGAACGGCTATTTGCGAGTCATTGCCTCTTCGGCAAACAACATAAAGGGAAGGCGGTTTGTCTGATGAGGAGGCGTCCGTCGTGTCCTTCAACGAGGTCTCGAGCATCTGAAGCTTCTCCTCCAACTCGGAGAGCGGGATGTTCAGAGATTGAGAAACAGAAGCAATTTGGAAGTGATGTGCAGGTCGTACATCCAACAGAAGATGGCGTTCACCATTATCAACAAGCCTTTTGTATTCTTTACAAGTGACACGGGCACTTCCTGGAAGTATGTCCAAACTTGGAGCTGACTGCATAGAACGCAACAGCAAGTGAAATGGCATAAAACTTTAATGTTTTTCTTTCTTTCAGATAACTTAAAATTTATGCACTCCATTCCAGAACATGAATTTTAGATGTTATATTGAAATTCATTCACTTTTTACCCCATTCCAATCTCCTAATTGCATAATCCGAATCAGGCTGTAGAGAGGTGTTAGTGGTATCCACTAAAATGGCCTCGCTCCATATTTCTGTATTAGACTAACGATTAGCTAAATTTTCCTAGTAGGGAAACTCACTTTATTTACATTACAACATACAATATCCAAAGGACTTGCTAACCAGACAGGTAGTATTTAAGTTCAGCTGTTGATCAGATTAGACAGACAGCATTCCTTTTTCAATTCAGTGATACATACAGAATGCTAATGATAAATAATATAAATTGTGAAGTCAATGATCTGGAGACATACCTTATCAGACATTGGAGACTGCGTGAAGTTCTCATAATCAAACTTCTGAAAATCATCTTGAGTAAAAGCTGAATTTTCTCCACAAACCGTGCAAACAGTCGAGCTTCCTCGAATCTTGACCTGCAGAAATATGTAAGTTTCAGTAATGAACTTCATGAAGAGAGTGAAGGAAACAGAATTAACTTTGTATTTTGTGCAGAAGAAAAACAGAAACAGAGAATATAAAAAAAGCATAGATAAGTTATTCCCAGTAAATTGGTCCTAAAGCAAAGGTTTCAACATCATTAGTACTTAAAATGCTGACAAAAATACAAGGAGTTAGCAAAATTAGTAAAACTATCTTAATGTTCATAATCCATTTCCGTAACAAACCATCTGCACTAACCAAAAATCCAGTTTTTCTATGTTATAAATTGGGTACAGATAACAAAATCTGAACTGCATGAACACAACCAAGACAGACTATTCCCTGAACTGAGTGATGCTGAGAATGATCTTGTTACAACATATACCACAGATATTACATATTATTTTGAAGGCCATTTTCAAGATTGGAGTCAGAGAACACAGGTTGCCATATGAGGTTAACCCACTTGGTATATTGTAATTACAGCTAGTAGACTGCTGCTAAGATAAAAGATACGAGAGAGACTACGTGCGCCCATTGACTGTGATGCACTCATGCACAGTTGCTAAAATAGCTAATACATGCATTGACATGTCATGTTTAAACTATGGTATGATGTAGCATGATGAATGAGCAGGCAGGTCACAGTGCGAGGTACATTGTCGAATTTCATCAAGATAACATGAAGATATGCAATTTCTCGTTAAACTGCCTAATGTGTGAATATCTTGTTCAAGTAGCAACCAAATTGATGCATGGTATAATAGTGTAGTACAGGAAATAGAAAGCAACACAAGACATATCTGGAGTCAAGTGGCATACAATTCTGATACGAGCAGATAGAGCGTCAAAGAGTAGCATTCTTCCACTTAGGGGTTCACCAACATCAGTAGCAACCTTTATAGCCTCTAGAGCTTGCAGGCAGCCAATCACTCCGGGAACTGTAGGTCAACAAAGAGTAGTTAGTTTACTAGTGCAAAATTATCTACAGAAAAGATGGAATCAAGGGATGAAGTTTATGCCATCTTATTCAGTACAATGTCTTCATACTCACAGTATGATATGCATATTCTACCTATAACAGAAACAATATTTGTAGCCAGCCAACCTAGGCTGTACGGAGAAGTAGGTTCAGGTGCATAGGTGGGAATGACCAAAATTTCAATTTGTATACTATGAGCAAGTAATTCATGTTTTTACAATTTACCAAAGGATAAGAAAATGTATGCACTTAAGTAAAGTTTACAAATATTCTAACTGATGTTTCACTTCCTATAAAGTGATTGTTCATTTGTATGGTCAGAAGCATCAGTAACTATGAAAACAAAGAAGCTTGTGTATGTGGTTCAAGCCTTGAACAAAATTTAAAATAAATATTCTAACTTATGTTTCCCCTTCTGGGAAGTTATTGTTATGACCAAGAAGCACTCGTTAATATTTTACTCAGTACTTACCAACCCCAAGAACTCCACTGTCTGAGCATCTCTGGCAGGCTGCCACTGGTGGTGGATTTGGGAAAAGGCATCGATAGCATGGACTTCCATTATGATGATAAACAGTCAACTGTTAGAGAAGTCAGTGCATGAATAAAAAAAGAATAAAGTGAACTACAAGAATGAAGATTATCAGGAGTAATGAGATTTACCTGTCCTTCCAAACCTAAGGCTGCACCAGATATAAGAGGCTGCACATAATTTATTAAAAAGATCAGTATTTCATCAATGAAACCATGGTAAGTGAAATAAACATAAGTTATTTTAGTTGTTAGTACACAACAGCTCAGTATCTTGACTGAAACTCACTAAATTACATGCTAAGATGAAAATTGGTATTCCCCTGATGAACATTTGAAGTATTGACTGCATTATTTACCTCGGAAGCAAGAATTTACCTTATTCAGCAACACACAACAGTCACTGATCATGTATCGAGTAGGAAGATTGTCCGTGGCATCTACAACTATATCATATCTGTGATTGATCCATCAGTGGAAAAAAAAATTCAGTAAACTCTAAAAGGCACAATATATTGTCTCAAGACACTTAATGTTTCGATAGCATACTTTCTCACGATTTCCAAAGCATTGGAAGGTTTCAAAGTATGATGGTACTCCATCACGTTGATAGACGAATTAATCCTGAACAGAAATAGCATATTGACATTACAGAAGCAGTAGCCTCAATATGAAAGATCTTCTTTGAACCATAAATATTTCAATGGATGGACTATATAACGACAATCTGTTAAAAATACAGATGCTTACTCACGGCAGGCGTCAGCCGCTGACTTCACCTTTGATTTCCCAACAAATGCTTCTTTGTGGATTATCTGAGAGGACATTCAAGGGGAAAAAAAAAACAGAGAACGACATGCCACGTGAATTTTCGAGAACAAAATGACCCACTGTTGAGTGATTATGAAGTTGCTAGCTAGAAAGTGAATACAAATTATGTTCCTACGGTTATCAATCAGTAATCAAACATCATTCAAATAATTCAGAAGGGAAAATAATGAAAGTATTAGAGAACAGAAGATACATGGACAAAATACACGCCAAATTATCTGTACCTGTCGGTGAAGGTTATTAAGCTCAACATCATCTCCATCAACAATGCCCAAGCAACCTAGGAAGACAGAAGGTTGCAAGAAAGCAATGAATTACCTACTCCAAGAAAGTCAAGGACCATCACAAGTAATCCATCTAATCCCACCGTCAGCTAGCTATACAAACATGATTAGTTCTTCTCAACAAGGAGAATAATTGGAGCACATTGAAATTCAGAACAATCTAACTGCTTCCTTATAAAACTAAAACCAATTAGCCAAGAACAGCTTCAGTAACAACCAACAAGAAGTAACATTACCAACACCACAAGCTGCTAGGTACAGTGCCACGGGCGAGCCCAATCCTCCAGCGCCCACCACCAAAATCGATGACTGCGAGAGCTTACGCTGGCCTGCGACATAGCTAACAAAAAGTCACTAGAGTCTCCACTACGCTGAGGCTACGATAACGCGCCATGTGTGAGCAGCTGAGCTTAACCTTCGACCCCGAAGTCCGGGAGGAGGAGGTGGCGGCTGTACCGGTAGATCATATCGGCCGGGAGGCCATCGGCGGCGGCGAACCCATTCCCACGGCGGCGTATGGGGCACGCGGTGGCGCCGCCACCGCCGCCTCCGCCTCCTGCCCCTGTCCCCGCCGCGTCGCCCTCTCCCGCGGGCGTAGGGCTAGCCCCGAGCTGCGACTCTAGCAGGCGTATGCGGCTATCGAGCTCTTCCCTCTCCGCCCGCAGCCTCTCCAGCTCACCGGCCATCGCCTCCATCCTCTCCCTCCGCCGCCGCCGCCGCCGTCGAGGTTAGTGTTGGAGGGATGAATAGAGTGGAAGAAATTTGCAAATAGCACCCTGAAATATATTCGTATCTTGGTTTGGGCTGTGGGCCTATCCTTGGGCCTTGGAGAGTGCTTACTTGGACTCTTTGGGCCTGCTTAGCAACTCTAGTACTCCAAATCTTTTACTTGTACTTGCTAATAGAATTGCACCTGTAATTTCTTGAGGTACTGCACACAATATCGAGCGAAAATAAAATGCTGCTAGCTCCTTTTTTCCTTCGAAAGACAGTACAAGTGCACTCACAACACATATGAGCACTTCTAAAAGACTGAGGAGGTATATTTTGATAAAGTCGACACATCATTGTCGAGAGATACGCCATCTACCGCTAAAAAATAATTAGCCGTAAATAGAGTATCGATGTCAAATCTAAAATTTGTAACTTGGTGGGCTTGTTCCATCATAAAAAACCTAATCAGTTGACTTACATTCACTTCGTGCTGCTAGCTCTTTTTTTTCCTACAAGGAACAAAATCATGTTGTTTTCATTGTCAAATTGTTGGTTCCCGACGTGTATTTGATACTATATGTTTGTTCCATTGTATCTAAAAAAAGGCACGTACCAGAGCATGAATAATAGTTCGGACAACCTTAGAAAGCGCCAGTAGTGTAGTGATGAAGTCCTTGGTGCTCATAAATATCACGTATATGTGGATGTTTTTAATAGGATTGTCAGAGATGTTGCTAGTCATTGTTTCTTTCTTTAAGAGTTTATTAGGAGGCAATTTCGCGACTATTTAAAGTTATGTGGCATGTACAGTGCGCACACATATTTTTTTTTGAAAATAGTAAGAAAAGATGTCACATAATCTTTTCATGTTATATTTAGACAATATATAATCAACTCACACAGCAACAATCTTCTATCTCCGTTGTCTCTTTCTCTAGTTAAAAGTATCGTGTGATATCTTCTTTCAGATGCTGACATCTGCCCTAAGGTACTATACAGTAGTAGTAGATTTGTTGTCACTTGGGTAAGTAATTCCGTCATGATATAGAACTAAATATTACTTTCATGGTGTGTTTCAGCATATAGCGTAAATGGTACTTTCTTGAAGTAACTTTAGTGTAAAATATATATACCGTACTGGCAAATGCGGACTCGTTGATAATGACTTTCGATTTGAAATCATCTTTGGTCCCTTATCTGAGGGTCAAGTTTGGATCACATTCCTCAAGTATAAAATCAGGTATAACACATTCCTCTATTTCCAAAACTAGGACAAATAATCTCAAGGCAATTTTGGATAGCGATTTCGGCGGACGTGGCACCCAAGTGGTGCACTGACTTGGTATTCATCTGATGTGGTATCTACGTGGCATAACAATTAGAAAAAAATATATAAAAAATAGCAAAACCCACAATCAGTCCCAAGAAAAGAAATAAAAACCAGGGCCCACGTGTCGATCTCCTTCTGCAGCCTCGGCTTCTCCTCCTCCTGCCAGTCTAGCTAGCCTCAGCCTTGACCTCGGTTGGTTGGTCCAGATGGTAGTGCAGTGACGAAGAGAAGTAGGCACGCTAGCGGCGAGCAGCTCCTTACTTGTCAGGGAGGGTCCAAATGCGACCCGTCCTCCTCGCCATTGGCAACCTCGATGCAGCTTCCTCCTCCTCCGATTCAGCCGCCCCTACTCCGAGGCCTCCACTACCACCTTCCTTATCCTCCACAAGCTTCGCCTGGCTTCCTCCTTCTCAACTGCTTCCTCGTCAACGTGTGCACTATCAACAGCTTGAAACCCATTATGTGGAATAAGGGAGCAATCCTCGTCAACGCGTCAATGCCTCAAGGAGATGGTCCACGTCAACAGCTTGAAAACCATCATGTGGAATAGCGGCAAGGAGAACATTGTCACCACGGCCGACCGTGGCGGCTTGCCATTTCAACTTTGATGGCACTAGCCGCTAGAGGAGCAGCGCCATCGAGCCTTCACGATTTGAAGGAAAGGGGAGAAGGATTTGGGGGGAGACATTGGAGCGTCAACATTGATGAGGACGCTTGCTCGCTTGAGTCTAGTGCAAGCTTGACCTCGGTGACAAGGTGGCGCAACCCGAGCTTGACGATGAGGCGGCCCAACCCGTCCCTCTCCCTCGCCTCCAACCTATCCTCCTCAATCGACACGGACAGCCGTGGCCCCCTCCTCGCTGGTTCCCTCGCCTTGAAGAGCTCACTGGCTCCCTCATCTCGCCTCCAACCGACCAACGGAGCCTCCTCCTCGCCAACCGCTCACCGTAGCCACCGCCGGCCACCACCACTGCCATGCCGCCATGCGCGCCAAAGGGAGAGGGAGGAGTTGTGTCGAAGGTAGTCGATAGTGATGACGCTTGAGCTCGACATCTGCCGCTGGCCACATCTGGGAAGGGAGAGGGAAGAAAGGAAAGGTAGTGTCACCAGCTGGAGCCTGGAGGAGAGAGGGGGAGGTGGAGGAGGTGTGGCCCACTACTTTTGTTCTATCTTTTTGTTTGACTAGGGCCCACATATTTTGTTTTATTTTTTTAATGTTGCTTCTAGTGCCACGTCAATGGCACGTGTGGCGAGGACCAAATCAAATGAGCCACGTAGATGTCATATCTAATGAAACTGCCATCCAAATTGCCTTAGGATATTGGTTGTACTGGTTTTGAGAGTTGAGCTTCTTACCTAAAATGAACTTGTTCGTTTCGCATTTCGGCATGTCCTCCACCCCTTTATTCTTTATACTTCTTGTTTAATTATAAGACGTTTAACGTTTCCTTACTGAACAAAAGTAAACATGAAATGGAGAAAAGCTTATACTCCATCCCTTTTTAATAGATAATACCGTTAACTTTTAGAAACACGTTTGATCATTCGTTTTATTTAAAAATTGTATGTATGAGATATAAATTATGTTTAAAGTACTTTTGTGATAAAACAACTCGCAACAAAAAAATGATAATTAAATAATTTTTTAGATATGACGAGTGATCAAACGTGTATTCAAAAGTTAATGCTGCTATCTATTAAAAAAGGAAAAGGATGTAGTAAATGTCTACAGTGAATTTTGGATTTAAGTTGGGTTAGAACACACAGACACAGTGCCGTAAAATAATGAACACTTTGCCATATTCAAGTCCAGATACTGCTACAATATAACCAGGCGTATGCGTATTATATGAAATTATGAAAAGTTGAAAACGAGCTACTTATTGAAAATGCGAAGATTTTAAAATAACCATCGATTAGGTTTGTTGGAAAAAAAAAAGGTCCATGTATATAGCCAGGATCGCTTATATTTGGTGGCCCGACGATGCCTTATGTTTTCCGTATCAAATCCTATTCCAAATCGCACAAATACCTGTTTGCGGTTTGGTTCAGATGCTGTGCTGCTTTCATTTCGCAGCGAAGATTCCTTTCCGGTGTCAATCCAAGCGTCAACTGCTGCAGACAGAAGGCCATGGTTCTCCACTCGCCATGATTCAGATTTTGAGCCTAACGAAAACGGAGGACACGCCTGATTGATCCACCCGAATAATAATAATAATTCTGCGAGGCTGCCACATCATCCATGACCGCATCTTAAGCATTAATCAAAGCCCTAACAGCGGATGGGGACAAGAAACAGCAAACCCTTGATGCTGGCAACCGGATAAGATCGAGTTGGATGGAGAGAGAGAGAGAGAGAGAGAGAGAGAGAGAGAGAGAGAGAGAGAGAGAGAAGCAGCAGTGGTAGTACTTGCTTCCTGTATCCCACAAGAAACAAAGCATCAGATTCCTGAAAGAAAAACATACTACTACTACTATTACCCAGTCAATTTCATATTTTTGTGGAAAAATTTCTTCATGACACTATGGTTATGTTTAGTTCTACACTAAAATTGAAAGTTTGAAGAAATTGGAATAATATGACGGAAAAGTTGGAAGTTTGTGTGTGTAAAAAAGTTCGATTTGACGGAAAAGTTAAAAATTTAAAGAAAAATGTTGGAATTTAAACATGGAAGTTGCTATAAGATTCGGATTTTATCTTCATTTCTGTTAGCATATTTTTCAAATTACTAGACGGTGTGTTCTGTAAAAAAACATTCTATATATAAGTTGCTTTGAAATATCAAATATATCTATTTATCAAATTATTATAATTAAAACTTAATTAATCATGCGTCAACACCTTTCTCATTTTACGTGCGCGAACCTAACCTTTCTCATTCTACATGAGCCAACTTAATCATCAACTTCATCGGTTTCAAACACCACGGTGTACAAATTGCAAATTAGACACCTGATATTTGTGAGTATGACACGTGGGACCCAGGTCCATTAACCAGTGGCACGTGTACTGCCCATTTTCTCCGCATCGCTAGGTGGGTCCGGTGGTTCAGCATCAATGGTTAATTAACTGTCACCGCTTTCTTACCGTCACTAGCTATAGGACAAGTGGCTAAGCTAACCTAAGCACGACAATAATTAACTAGATTTTTCACAATTTGGAGCTTTTAAAATACTTTTTTTTTGCAAATAAACCCCTGAAAAAACTTGTCCTAAAAATTGTCTATTTGGACGCCAGAGTCGCTGGTGCCGTCCTCTTGTCCCCCACCCCTCCTAGAAAAATTTTAATTAGTGTAGAGGAGAGAGATGTACAACTTTTTTTTATCTTTTTGATATATTTTTACACTTAGGAGCACATAACAACCAACCATAGAAAATAGACGAAATATGTAACTTGTAGAATTTTTTAAAGCTCTGTCGAAAAGTTTCTCGCCTCGAAAACACAATCTTACAAGCGGAATTTGGAGATTATAATTTCATCGAACACGGATGTAACTTTTTCTGTAGATGTCCGTGGTTATATTATTTTCCTGATTCTGAGTATGAAAAAATTGCGCCTGTTTTAAGAAATGACACCCAAATATAACTAATAAAATACAAACCCTAACTTTTTTATAGGATGTAAAAGATGTAAAAAAAAGGCTCAAGAGTGTTCGAAATCTAATCTACCTTTTTTTTACTATATGAAAAACCAAAACGAAGAGCAGGGAGAGAGCGCGGGGAGTGGGGGGGGGACTTTTCAGCAGAGCTTTGTAAAATTCTACAAGTCACATATTTTATCCATTTAAGTTTAATTTTTCTATGGTTGGTTCTTGTGTGCTCCTAAGTGTGAAAAAAAAATATCAAAAGAAAATGAGAGAAAGAAAATTGGGGTGGGGGAGGGGGGCGGCGCCAACCACATTGGCGCGCTCCCCCTGCCACCTCAGCGCCGCCCCGCCACAGTGGAAGGAGGCTGGCGCCAGTGACTCTGGCGTCAAAAAATGATTATTTTTTGGATAAGTTTTTTTAGTGACTATTTGCGAAATAAGTTTTTTAAAAGGACTAAATTGTGAAAAATCCAGCAATAATTAATGGAGAAGGGGTCCTATATATTTCGGTGCAGCTTTGTTCAACCCTGCCCTCTCTGCTGTGCTTGCCTCCAAATAATTTTTTCCCCTCCGCTTTTGCTGCCTCGTCTTCTCTAGATCTTAATTACCACGAAATTGCAATGAGCTAGCTCGTGTTTGCGAGTATAGGTAGCTAGGTAGCTAGGCGTAGGGGAGGTTGCCGGAGAGGCAGGGATCGATGGAGGTGTTCATCCACGAGGAGTACGTGCACAAGCGGAGGGAGCAGCGGCGGCGGCGGGGACGGCGGCCGGCGGCGGTAGCGCTGCAGCTGCTGCAGGTACAGTCGTCGTCGACGACGACGAAGCCGGAGAAGAAGGCGGCGGCGGCGGCGGCGGCAGGAGGAAGGCGGCCGCTGGCTCCACTTGCAACGGAGCTTCAGGATAGCCCGTGGGACCTACCGGCCGGCAGCGGCGGCGGCGCGTCACCGTCCGACGCCGCTGGGTCTCCGGCGGCGGCGGCGGCGGCTACCGTCTCCTTCGCGGACCATCTCCTCGGCTACCTCTAGGTGAAGTACAGAGATCGGTTGATTAATTAGCTAGCTATATATGCGTGTTTCCATCGTCTGCCTGTAATTAAGTTGGATCAGGTAATAATAAATCCGTTGGCATGATTTTATTCTTGTCCGAGCTAGCTAGTGTGCTAGTGTGTTCGATTTTTCTGCTTTTTGTAAGCATGAAATTCTCTCGTGCTGCTCAACGTGAGAGTCCCTTGTAGGAGGCACCAATATTTTTGGAGTTGATCAAGTGGAATTAATAGTGGATTATGCTGCGTGATTAATTAAGCTAAGTAGATTAAGATGGGCTCGTGACTTGGTTAATCCTAAATGCACATAGGAAATGGTAAAATACTCACCGCCCAAAACAGGAATGCACATAGGAAATTGCTGAAAATCCTAAATGGGAGAATCAGCAGATCAGAACGACAAGATCCACTTTCCCGTGATTTCTGTGTCACAGTAATGTCATGATCTCACACTACAGGTTTCCCAGATGCGCCTAGGAATTAACAGATGGGCAAAATTTGAAGCAAGAGAGAAGAGAGACATGAGAAGTTGAGAGCTGACGTGCATCTCACCAAACAGGTCCAATTTCAACCGGAAATAAAAATCCTCTATTCAACCAGAAATAAAAATTCTAAGTGCGGTATCCAATGCAAATAATTAAACTTTAAAAGTGTTTATTCCTTACAGATTAAATTTTTATCGTGTTCATGAGCTAAAACTACATGTCCGTAGTGTTGTACATCAAAAGCTACCATATTATTATTATTTTTTAAACATAGTTTTTGCCTGTTGGACTCTGAAACAGATACATGAAATTGACAAAACAAGCGATTTAAACAGCCTTCCATGGTCACAAAACTGATCTTGAAAAAAAAAAGGTCTATTCATTCACTAGGAATGTGTCCATTTCAATGTTTGTCCCGACCTCTTTCTTTGTGACAGCCTTCCCCACGAGGACATGCCCCCCCCCCCACCCCCACGGGGATGCACGCACGGACCAGAAAATTGGTGTTTCACTCAGGTAAGCGCCTGTTTACTTCGTGAAAAGAAAATTTTTGGGTGTCACGTCGAATATTTGACCGGATATCAGAAGGGTTTTTCGGACATGAATGAAAAAACTAATTTCATAACTCGCTTGGAAACCGCGAGACGAATCTTTTGAGCCTAATTAACCCGTCATTAACACATGTGGGTTACTGTAACACTTATGGCTAATCATGGACTAATTAGACTCAAAAGATTCGTGTCACGATTTCCTCTCTAACTGTGCAATTAGTTTTTTCATTTACCTATATTTAATGCTTCATGCATGTGTCCAAAGATTCGATGTGATGTTTTTGGGAAAAAAATTTGGGGAACTAAACAGGGCCTAAAGATTACTCTTATACGTTAGGCCGTGTTTAGTTCTAAAGTTTTTTTCCAAACTTCCAACTTTTTTATCACATCAAAACTTTCCTACACACATAATTTTTCAACTTTTCCATCACATCGTCCCAATTTTAACCAAATTTCCAATTTCAGTGTGAACTAAACACAGCCGTTGGTTTATAATTTTTTTCTGTAACTTTTTATTTTTATTCTTCGAACAGCACCTTTAAAATGTAGATTAATTAAAAAACATACTACTTTCTATCCAAATGGAAAAATTACTCCAGATCACCTTTTACTGAAACAGTGGAAAGTATTTGAAACATCTCAAGTTCACTTCATTACAAGGATGAAAGTATTTTTTTCTCGTATTTTCTCTTTTTTTTACGATTACACGGCATATGCACGCGCAACGCCACATTACACTCACATCCTCATGACTACATCCCCTAGCACACATTCAAGAAACAAAAATCCAACACATCACTAATCTCATTAAAATTTTGTTGAAAGCTCACCTTATTTTGTCCGTGACCTTGGTAACAATAGGTGGTGTGACAAAAGAGTGCATCAACTTTATAACATTTTTTAAGATGTCAGTAAATCATGGACAAATAGTAACACTCTCAACTATACTCCATCCATAACCATAAAAAAAAACTAATACCGGATGTGACACATCCTAGTACTGCAAATCTAAAGCGTCTCACCCAGATTTGTAGTACTAAGATGTATCATATCTTGTACTGGGTTTGTTTTTATTGAACGGAGGGAAAATGTGGCATAAGTCCATAATAAAATCAAATTTCCCATGCAATATGGGACACACCAAAGCACCACTACCTAATCTGCATTTTCTTTTCCTTTTATTTAAGAGAAAATTCCTTGTGTGCCCTTCAAAACTCACCCAATTCCTTCTGTACCCTGAAATTTACTCAATCCTTTCTATGTCCTCCAATTTTTTTTATCCCTTATGTACCCCTACCATTAGGTTTCCTTCAATGGACTGGTTAGTTTGTTTGCAAATGTTCATTGTGCCGTTGAGAATGGAGGAGTTGCTGGAAGCTGAGTGCCTGGTTGGCAGAGAATTTGATAAAGTTTGAAATATTCATGAGTGAATCATAGGTGTGTTTTATGAGACTAAAATAATCAGTGCGTTGAAAATTTAAAATAATTTTCTTCAAACAAATTTAATGCATTGAACTTTTGCTATATCATGTACTAGGGCAATGGATCCTAAAAGGGTACTATGAAAATTTTAAAAATGACTGGACATTATGATCCCATCCATAGAAAACACTGTTAATGCATAATTAACGAATTACTTCATACCATGCGTACAACACATTACCATTTCCATACACAAAAGCGCAATTAACAAACTAAATAAACAAGATAGGAACTGTTTATATCATGAGCATCATTGCCACAACAGTAGTCACCCCAATAGCAAGCAATCCTGGGCATTACGGTGCTATGGTAGCAAAAATCCTGAGCGGGCTTTTCTACGCTGAATTGTTTTCTTGAAGTTCCCAAATTATCTCCTTTATTTTCTACATGCACATTTTTTCAACTACCAAACAGTGCGTATTGTGTAAAAAAAATATACAAAAGTTACTTTGATTATTTTTCAGAAAAAAAATAATACTTAATTAATAATATACTAATAAATCGTTCTAGCTGCGCGTAGTTCCCAACAGCAAGTATCGAACTCAGCCTCTGTGGTGGTCTCCATTGCTCTGCCTGCACGTGCCAATTGCAGCATACCAAGTTAAAGCGAAAGCCGAAACAAGCTTGGATATGAAACAAATTTAGGCACCATGCTTTTAATCTGGAAGCTGAAACAAAACTTTTTTTATGTTGTTGACCTCTTTGCTCTCAGGACACATAAATTTCAGTGCTTGTCAACTTTTGTTTATATTTGGAATAAGTTCATCTAAGGTCCCTTAACTTGTCAACGAATCCGATTTTCGTCCCTCAACCGGAAAACCAGATACAACGGGTCCCTCAACTATCAAAACCGGTGCAAATTAGGTCTCTCGGCGGTTTTGATGGCGGTTTTGGCTGACGTGACGCCTACGTGGCTAATTTGACTTGGTCTTCATCTGATGTGGCATTGATGTGGCGCTTACGTGGCAATTTGATCCGGAAAAATAATAAACTTCGCGGGACCCACATATTAGTTTCACACATAAATTAATAAAGAAATGGTGGGGCCCACGTGGGCCCCCCTCCTTCGTCCTCTTTCCCCACCTCCCCTCTCTTCATCTCTCCCCTCTCCTCGGACATGCGGGAGGCAGCGGCGGAGACCGGCAATGCCGACGGGGCGACGGCGGCACGAAGCCGACGGGGCGGAGTGGGGCAGCGGCGGGCGGACGCGCGCGCCAAGAGGTGGTGGGCTTCTCTTTTGACTTTATTAGTGTTAGGAATAAGTTCATCTGCAGGTAGTAATCCTGACCCTGCATAGATCGATCGTGTGCTGATCAATTACTTCTGCTTCTGATACTGTAATCCTGCGGCGGATCAATTATTTCTTCTCCTGATCTGAGCAATTTGCGCCACGGATCGTCGTCGTGAGCCTGTATCGATCGATCCATTGTGTGCTTGTGTAGTTTTTCACTGGGTTATATTCGTTTTAGGGTTGGAGCGTGCGGTGCAAGAGCTGCCTGCGCCGGCTTCTGTAGTCGCTGCCAAATCCGAAGCTGCTCCTGACCAAGCTGACGACGACGATGATGCCCAAACTGACGACGAGGAGTAGACGTGCGGCAGGAGGACGCCGGCGCACAGCGGCGCGAAGCCAGCGGAGCGGGGCGGTGGCGGCGCGCGAAGCCAGCGGGGAGAGGGCAAGAGATGATAAAATTCACGAAATTTCATTAAATTCAACGAAGCGTGCGTGGAGGGTGGTGGCGCGCTGGAAGACGACGACGACGAGGCTGGCGCTCACCGCTTGGCTCCGCCGCCCCGCCGGCTTCGGGCGCCGCCACTCCGTCCGCGCGTCCGCCCGCCGCTGCACCACTCTGCCCCCTCGGCTGCGCCGCCGCCGCGGGCGTAGCGCCGGCTGCCGGACCTCCCCGGCGCCTGGAGAGAGGAGAACGGAGAGAGATGAAGAGAGGGGAGGTGGAGAAAGAGGCGGAAGGAGGAGGCCGAGAATGACATGTGGGGCCCACGTGGGCACCACCATTTCTTTATTATTTTATGTGTGAAACTGATATGTGGGTCCCGCGAAGTTTATTATTTTTCCGGATCATATTGTCACGTAAGCGCCACGTCAATGCCACATCAGATGAAGACCAAGTCAAATTAGCCACGTAGACGCCACGTCAGCCAAAACCGCCATCAAAACCGTTGAGGGACCTAATCTACACCGGTTTTGATAGTTGAGGGACCCGTTATATCTGGTTTTCCGGTTGAGGGACAAAAATCGGATTCGTTGACAAGTTAAGGGACCTTAGATGAACTTATTCTTTTATATTTACAGAAAAAGAAAATTTCAGTTCCCTTCCCCAAACCCAACCTGCCGAGCCCACATAAGGAAAAAGTACACCGATGGTCCCTCAACTTGTCATCGAGTTACTAAATCGTCATCTAACTACAAAACCAGATATCCAACGTCCCTTAACTAATCGAAACCGGTTACGATAGGTCATTAGGTGGTTTTGACTCTGGTTTTATCCTACGTGGCAGCTGAGTTAGCGTGGGACCCACGTGGGCCCCACCTGTCAGCGTGGCCACATCAGCCTCCTCTCTCTTTTCCCCTCTTCTCTCTCTTTCTCATCTCTCTCCCTTCTCTGCCACCGTCGACTGTCCCACCAGCATGAAGGACGGCTGGAGGGCGCACCAGCGCGTCGCGTACGACGGCGAGGCCAAGAACCTTACCGTCGCGCTCTCCTACGGCGACGCGGCGGCGGCCCGACGGATCCCGTGCTCTGGTACGCCGTCGATCTGATGGAGTACCTCCCCGATGCCGTCGCCGTCGGCTTCTTCGCCGCTACGGGCGAGGCCGCCGAGCTGCAGCAAGTGTAGTACTGGGAGTTCACCACCAGCATCGACCCCAAGGACGTGTGGGTGGTGTTGGGACTCTACAGCTTGCTTCTTGTGCTCGTCGCCATAGGGGTGCTCTGGTTCGTGTCACAATGGAGGAAAGCCGGAGAGCTCGCCGATGGTGACATCTTTGACGAGATGGTGTACGACGAGCTTGCCGACGAGGAGTTCTTCGTGGAGAGCGGGCCGAGGCGGTTCCGGTACAGCGACGCGCGTCCGCATCCAACGCGCGCGCCGGCCGCCGCCAGGTCACCGCCACACCTTCCTCCTCCCCCGCGCGCCGGTCACCGCCACACCTTCCTCCTCCCCTCCGTCTCGCCGCCGCCCGAAACGGCGTCGGCTGGGGCACCCGGCGCCCATGGTGGAGGCGGCTAGATCCGGATTCGCCGTAGCCTCTCAGCCATCGACGGTGGCCGGCGGCGGCGCAGTGCTCGCGCTCGTCCTCCTCCTCGTCCTCCTCGCCGCGGCTGAGTGGTGGCGGCGGCGGAGCCCGAGCCCTAGTGGTGGTGGTGGTGGCAGCGGCCGCAGACCTCGCCGATGGCGAAGAGGCTACGGCAAATCCGAGGCGGCGGCGCCATGCTCGCGCTCGTCCTCCTCCTCGTTCTCCTCGCCGTCGCGGCACGGCGCGGGCGAGGGCCATCGGCTGCCGCCTCGGGCGCAGCAGGAGTACGACGTCACCTCCGCCACCGCCACGGGGCCTTGCGACGCCTACCTCGTGTTCCGCTGCTCCCCACCGCTCTACGCCTCCGCCATCTCCATCTCCAACGTCCTCAACATCACCGCCACCGCCGTCACCGAATCCAACGCCGTCGACCCGGTCACCCCTGTCGCCGCCGACCCCCTCGTCCTCGCGCCCGTTGTCGGCGACCTCATCCCCACCCGCCGGCTAGCTTGCCCGAGAGGAGAGGGAGAGAGAGAGGAGGAAGGGAGAGGAGGGGAAAGAGACGGAGGGGGATGAAGTGGCATTCTGACACGTGGGTCTCACACTGACTCAGCTGTCTCATGTTGCGTTTAGGGGACGATTTTGTAACTCGATGACAAGTAGAGGACCTTCGGTATACTTTTCCCCCCACATAATGCTGGGCCCTTCCTTAGATAGCCCAGGGCAAGCCCGGCCCATAAGCCCAGGCCAGCACAATTACATCGCTACTACTCCCCCTCGTCTCTCCTCTCCCGTCTCCACCCAGTCGTCTCGTCGACCTCGAACTCGAAGCGAAACCCCCAAATCCGCATTCTCCTCTATCTACAAGCCTAGAAAGTAGAACCCCCCCCCCCCCCCCCCCCCAAAAATCCGCATCCCCCACCCAATCCCCTCCCCCCAACAACTCGGCTTCGGCGGCGGCGGCGCCATGGGAGGAGGCGGCGCGGGTGGGGACGGCGAGGCGTGGGCGGATCAGGAGCAGGGGAACGGCGGGGGCCGCGGCGGCGGCGGCGGGGAGGCGAAGCGGTCGGAGATCTACACGTACGAGGCCGGGTGGCACATCTACGGCATGAACTGGAGCGTGCGGCGCGACAAGAAGTACCGGCTCGCCATCGCCAGCCTGCTCGAGCAGCACAACAACCACGTCCAGGTGGTCCAGCTCGACGAGTCCTCCGGCGACATCGCCCCCGTCCTCACCTTCGACCACCCCTACCCTCCCACCAAGACCATGTTCGTCCCGGACCCGCACTCCGTCCGCCCCGACCTCCTCGCCACCTCCGCCGACCACCTCCGCATCTGGCGCATCCCCTCCCCGGACGAGGCCGCCGCCGCCGCCGCCGCCAGCTCCAACTCCGGCTCCGTCCGCTGCAACGGCACCGCCTCGCCCGACGTCGAGCTGCGCTGCGAGCTCAACGGCAACCGCAACAGCGACTACTGCGGCCCGCTCACCTCCTTCGACTGGAACGACGCCGACCCCCGCCGCATCGGGACCTCCTCCATCGACACCACCTGCACCATCTGGGACGTCGAGCGGGAGGCCGTCGACACCCAGCTCATTGCCCATGACAAGGAGGTCTACGACATCGCCTGGGGCGGTGCCGGCGTCTTTGCATCCGTCTCCGCCGACGGCTCCGTTCGCGTGTTTGATCTCCGGGACAAGGAGCATTCCACAATTATCTACGAGTCCGGTTCTGGCGGCAGCTCCAATTCGGCAGGTGCAGATGGCGGCGCTGCCTCGCCAACACCGCTGGTTAGGTTAGGGTGGAACAAGCAGGACCCTAGGTACATGGCAACCATCATCATGGATAGCCCCAAGGTGGTCGTGCTTGATATCCGCTACCCAACACTACCGGTGGTCGAGCTCCACCGCCACCATTCGCCCGTCAACGCCATAGCATGGGCGCCACACTCCTCTTGTCACATTTGCACAGCTGGGGATGACTCGCAGGCCCTTATATGGGACCTGTCATCCATGGGCACTGGGAGCAACAATGGTGGCAATGGAAATGGCAATGCTGCAGCTGCTGCGGCAGCTGAGGGCGGTCTTGATCCCATATTGGCGTACACTGCTGGGGCAGAGATTGAGCAGCTCCAATGGTCAGCGACCCAGCCTGACTGGGTCGCTATTGCATTCTCCACTAAACTGCAGATCCTCAGGGTCTGATTTCTTTGTTCCAACCCTGTTAGTAAGGGGACATCGACAAGAACAAAGAAGGCCAGCATGGATAATGAGGTTAGGTGATCAGAGGACATTGTTACTTCAGTCTTATTTATTTTAAGTTGTGCACAGATGATATGCGCGCTGAGTTGGTTCTAGTGATATAATAAATTGTTTCCTACCTAGAAGCTGGAATTGGCAATGAACTGAGCTGTTAGAGTAATTAGCTGCTCTAGGTTTAGTATTGATGTTAATGTGGATTGTAGTTATGTTTGTTGCTTGTTCTCGAATGTCCAGCTCCAGTAGGGCGTAGGTTCACCTCTTGACTTCCATGTTGTATTTTGCACTCGCCGTATATGCACTTATAAGTTATAAGCTTGTGCGTGTTATTTTGTTTCAGATCTACGGTGTTTCTCATGTTGTGCTGTTGAAGTAGAACTAAATGCATGAAACTTGACATGCTATCAAAGCCAAGTGTTCTCGCTATCACCCTGGATGGCACACTTTTAAGAAGATCCTTGTCATGTGGTGAACATATTGGTACTTTCAATTTAGTATGTGCAATCTTCAGAGACCAGTAGTTGCATTGTTATGTCTTCCATTGGTTCACTTCAATTCATATCCTATGGCCTCATTGTTTGTCGTTTTATTAGGTAGAGTTTTAGCCTTTTAGGGTCCGGTACTATGGTTTGCTGGTGTGGGTGGTTTGATAATCTACTGTAGCTTGTAACAGTTATTGATGCCATGTGGTCAAATAGAATCGGCCTTTTTCTGGCTTTCTGTAACAGTTGTAGCTGCAGCAAATGAATAGATGCCCTGAGTTATCCTTCAAAACATAAAATAAAATGAAACCTTGTGTCTTCTGTGAATAGTGCCACAACAATAAGGCCTTGGTGCTTATGGGTGCATCTTTATTAAGTATCATCTTTGGCTTTGTTTTAGTTCTCTTCTAGTGGTGTGTTTCTACTTAGTTGTATTCTTTCTTTTGTGAATATGATAGTTGCACATCTTCCATTGGACAAGTTGGAAAACAACTGAGATGTGTGTGAAGTCACTTAGTGACAAAATGTTTCCCCCATAGGATATCCTTTTGGGAGCCTATTATTTGTATTTGGATTGCATATCATTTTTCACCAACTGTAGAATTTGTTGATTGCTGAAGCATAATATCATCTGGTTGGTGTGTAGCATCAACAATCAAGCAAGTGTGCGTGTGCACCATTATAAAGTTTCCACTTTCCACTATGTAGTATTTGTTTGTTCAAGAAGGGATTGAGAATTGACTTCTTTTCTACTTTGCATGTGCGCGTGATTGTTTTTGGTTGAAATGAGGTTCAAGCAAGTATCAGCTTGCATCTATTTTGTGATTTTGCTTTGCTCCTTCCTGCGCTTGGAGATTTCAAGCACACATCACAAGACACTTGATACTGTAATAATAAGAGTAAGAGCATTTTTGACATCTTATAGATTACCACGTTGCGTGATGGAGATTCAATAATATGATTCTATGCAAGGGTTGGCTACAAGTCTACTGGATTCTGTCGTAGAAAGGTGCTGTACGTGTTCATTCATTTTACAGATTCTGCATCCTTCCTCCACTCCCTTTTACCCCAGTGTCCCTTTCATTCTCAAACTCGAAGCTAACTACTTGTGCAGCAGCCAGAAGATGTGAATGGCTTTTATTTCCAGTGACTTTTCATACCACCATGGCACCATGTTCTATGTTCTAATTGCATAATTGGATGGCCTGTGGGCTGTGGCTGTTGTTTCAATGTGATTATTTGGGTGGACACTGGACAACCTACTCCCTCCGTCCAAAAAAAGACAAACCCTAGTTTCCGTGTCCAACGTTTGACCGTCTGTCTTATTTAAAAAAAATTATGAAAAAAATTAAAAGGATAAGCCACGCATAAAGTATTAATCATGCTTTATCATTTAACAACAATAAAAATACTAATTATAAAAAATTTTCATATAAGACGGACAATCAAACATTGGCACGGAAACCTACTGTTTGCCTTTTTTTGGGACGGAGGGAGTAGACCTTAGGGCTTATTCGTTTCAAAGGAATTGTAAAGTTTCGAAGGAATTGTAAAGGAAAAGTACAAGAATATGCAATGCTTTGGAATGGGCACTATACTGTCATTCGTTTCAAAGGAATGCATCAAAGGAAAAGTTCCTGTCCCTCCACTTTTAAAGGGAAAAAAATAATCCACTCCAACCAAATATTTTCAATCCTTTAAATTGTTTTCTACACAACCATAGGTAAGTTTTCTATGTTTTTCAATTCGTAGGTCTGCACATGTGTTCTCATGCTATTCCTACGTTTTAAAAAATCTTACAAACCAAACAAACCCAATTACTGTGAAGTTCAACCTGAGGATAACGTTGCCGATGGCTTTTCTAGCTACTAATGATTGATCATCTTTCATTTCTTCTGTTCCGCTTCCGCGCAGGATGTTCCTACATTCTTCTCTCATTTTCTCTTCATCCGGGAAGAACAAAAAAAGATCGCGCAAACAATCTTAGAACAAACCGTGAGACTCCTTTTCACTCGACTTGCCCCCGGTTCGGTCGCCCAACTGTTTTTGGTGTCAAGGCTAGATGTTTGCAGGCGGCACAACTGGTGGCTCAAGTCACTATTCCAGACCGTTGAAACACTCAATTTACACAGTGTTAGTATGTGTTTGGTTCAAGGGACGGGGTTGGGTTGTTTCGAACCCCACTTTGTATTTGGTTTGAGGGTAGGTGGGATGGGATGATCCATGAAAGGGATTATTCTCCTGAGATTCGAGTTGAACTGATCCCTAAAAAATTGCCGGATCAATCCAACCCACTTTTTTGTCTCATCGATATGTGGTTTAGCACCTAAAAAGACCATCACATCACTCATGCCAAACAGATAGACAGGATGATCACATCATAGAAACAAGGATGAGTCCAACCAACTTACTTTATCCCAAACTAAACACATGCTTAGAGAACGCTATGTATCTGGATCGTGGTTGAGGGAACGAGGGACGTGAATAAAACTCGACCATAGTGAGAGGACATGATGTGAACTTTTTTTCAACGAATAATGGTTGGACGGCCCAGCAGATTCAGTTCAGGTGACACCAGGGACACGCACACCGGGCTCCTTTTTTTGGGTAGTTGACGGTAACACTGCCGAACGGTACTGATCGTGTGATGAGAACGTTTTGTTGGTAATTCCATGCTAACCCTCAACCCCAACCACATCCTGTAGCAATAGCATTAATACGTGATTATTTCACATATTAACGTTTTCCGTCAGAACGACCGTAAAACGACCTACAATAATCTCCATCACTACAGGTGCCGTGACTTCACTATCCTACTGCCTCACCGACGCCTGCGCACGTCGGCACCTTTGCTGCTTGCTGCCACATCATCTGCTAACAGCAGGTACAATAGCAAACTATAAGTCGGTTTAAACATATATCAAGAAGATAAAAAAAGAGTGAGAAAAGCAACGGGATATATATTTGTAGGAAGCTATAGCACAGACCCTAAGACGCAATGTGTGTATAATAGGTAGGATATTAACAGTGTAGTCTATGTTTCCAGGTAACTATCGCACGAATTGGCTATTAAATTGACTATAAATAATTTGGAGTTAGTAGTTGGCTATACTATAGAACTTGCTCTAATACTTATGTTTTTGGCGCGTAGATTGAAAGCTGGAAATCCCATAATTCACTTTTTAACTCTTTACTTTCCTTTTAAAGGTGTGTTCTTTTTCTTATTTTTTTTAACTTCTGCTCTCTTGTTTTTCACGCATGCTTCCCAAACTGTTAAATAATATGTTTTCTTTTAAAATAACTCTATATAAATGATGCTTTAAAAGTCATATTAATTATTTTTTAAAAGGTTTTTAAGCTAATATTTAATTTATTATACATTAATTAATCCGTTGCTTCGTTTTGTGCCAGAAAGGAATTGAAGGATTCTCAATGGAATGATCTTTAGTTTGCGCTTTCTAGCGAAACCGGGTCAATGAATGATCTAAGGTCTAAAAAAACAACACAGGGTTATTTGTACAGATTATCTAGATTCAACTGCCAATGACGAAGATTATGAACTACTGTATGCATGACTTACTTGTGGCAACTAATTACTCCCTCCGTTTCACAATGTAAGACTTTCTAGCATTTTCCACATACATATAGATGTTAATGAATCCAAATACATATATATGTATAGATTCATTAACATCTAAATGAATATGAGCAATGCTAGAAAGTCTTACATTGTGAAACAGAGGAAGTAGAGTATACTGAATCGGTCGGTCTGTGATGGATGGGGAGTGGTTATTGTGATCAGCCACGAAAGCGCTAGCTAGCCTGCGGATAATAAGCGGATTAGTTGGACGTCGGCGTCTCTCTTACACTTTCAGCTACAAAATTGGAGCATGATTTGATACCGACCTACATACACAACGAAAATTTCAGAACGAAACTTGCTACGACTCTCACTCATTTTTTTTTAAAAAAAACCACGCTATATATCTTGTACAGTTAGCTACAGAAGTGAGTAAAAAAAAAGGTGACAAAAAGAAGAGGAAAGTTGCTGACACATCACGCATTGGCGCCACACGAGGCAGAGACGACGACGACGAAGGAAGAGGACACAGTAGCAGCCAACACCAGCAGTATTGGACTATTGGCAGGGTGGTGATCGATCATGCATCGAGCAGATCAAGAGAGCTCAGCAGATGCGACTGCTTCTTCTCTCTCACACACACACACCATCCAATGACGACATTGAACATGCATATGCATGCTGGGTGTTGCACTTGCACAAGCACAAGACTCCTTTCCCTTTCCCTTTGGCGCCACACTATCTACCACCTTTTGGAAGGTGGCCAGCCAGCAGCAGCAGCAGCAGCAGGATTGAATGAATGAGCAAGTTAGGCCAGCCAAGCTGCTGTACTGGTAGTAGTGGCCTGTGATGAGTGAGCTAGCCATCCATCCAATCCATTCCAACCATGCTTAGTTTACCTTTTGATGATAGATTTGATCCCTCATTAGCTTATATTGCACATGCATTTTGTTATTTCTGGGGGAGAGCTTGGGCAGTTGGACCTTGACAACACCACCACCAGTGCATACATGCATCTATGGAGAAAAGGAAAAGAGGCAAATATTTCAATTCCAAAATGGATCTAGTCACCACCATGACAAGCAAAGGTAGTACTATGTGTGATGAGGTGAAGCATCATCATGTCATATACTAGCAGATAGCTCCATGGACTGTGGGTAAAAAGAGAGATAGATGGATAGATGGATGTGTAGATTCCCAAAGTGAGAAAAGAAAAGATTTAAGAGAGGGGAGAAGGAAAAAAAAACATATAGTGAGCTCCAACAAAGCTATGGGGTGAATGAAAAGATGAAGGTGCTCATGTCCTTGTGGCATCTTTTGCACTCATGATCACAAGTCCAAGACATGTTCAAGTGGGTCATGCATGCACAACCTTGGAAAAGATGAGATCTCCTTCATCTCACTTTCACATTCTTTTTTCTCCCTCCCTTGCACCTTTCCCAGGGTCACCAAATCAAGATTTGTTTGTTTTAGTTAAGGCAGCTAGGGTGTTGTACTACTCAAACTCACTCATGGTCATGGGGGGTTCCACAAAAAGTGCCCTTTTATTTTTCCCTTTGCCTGCTCTCCAGGTCTTCTTGCATTGGTTGGAGACCTAATTAAAGATCACGAACACCCATGCTTTCAGATGGGAATATGCCACCTCATGTAGGGGCACTAGCACAGCAATTGCTCATCAGTTTTATGAGTAGTAGGCACTTTTTTTTTCTTCTCTAGCTTGTTGTTGCATCCAAAGAAAGAGGCTGTTGCTTTCTTGCAACTTCTTCAATTCCCCTTGGCACACATGTACATGCACGATACATTTGCATCCTATCACATCTTGGCTTGCACGCCAATGGAATTGATGAACAAATCTAGCTAGGTCACAAAACAAATTAATTGCATTGCATTGTCATGTTGGCCACCCATTTCTCCTTTCCTTTCTTTTTTTTTTCTTTTGGCAGTGATTCCTACCCCCAAGGCCCCAGAGAGATCATATTCTTTTCTCTACTATCTTAGTACTCCCTCCATCCCATAATATAAGAGATTTTGAGTTTTTACTTGCAATGTTTGACTACTCGTCTTATTCAAAAATTTTTAAAATTATTATTTATTTTATTTGTGACTTACTTTATTATCTACCGTACTTTAAGCACAACTTTTCGTTTTTTATATTTGCAAAAAAAATTTGAATAAGACGAGTGGTCAAATGTTGTAATAAAAAATCAAAATCCCTTATATTGTGGGACGGAGGGAGTAGTTTTTTTTTTGGGGTCCCTTCAAATTGGCAATCATGGTGCAACAAGAATGACTTGTATAGTTCATTCTCGGTGCAATTCCATTCCATCGAGATAATTATTCGGTCCATTTTGGATCGGTGGACGCGTGCATCCATTGATCAAGACCGCACTTTTCACTTTCCTACGGCATATGCAGGGCGACTACTCTTTCTTCCTTTTTTCAGTTTAATTAGGTGACGATGTAAATGTAGCATGGCAAGTAGTTTTGGCCAAGTGGTAAGCCAATTTGGTATTTAGCATATACGACAAAGAATATGTCCAATTGGTTTAGTATCAGTTAGTAGTACGATTGACCGGGTATTACAAGAATTAATCCGAAGATGGCGAAGGTTTAAAACGCGGGAACTAGAGAATCCCCAGCTGGTCTCCACGAGGACACAGGATCATTCCATATTTCCATTCGAATTCTAATGGGAAAAAAACTCTATGAAATGCTTGCCAAATTTCAGCGAGAAATGGGCTTAGCTACTGTACTGTAGATGGCCTAGCTTGACCGTCTTCGACTCCGGCTAGTACGTTCATAATTGCGCGTTAAGATCTCGATGATGTGGGACCCACGCCCCCAATACGTACCACTACGAGCAAATAATATGGCCAAACTAATAGTTACAAATCATCTATAGATAATTTAATAGCTAATTCATACCATAGTTACCTATAAATATATTCTACACTAATAATTACATATCATACATATATTATGTTTTGTAGTTTATGCTGTAACTGGTTGCAAATCTATAGTCCGCTACTATCCTCTCTTTATATTTATCTCCTTGATATGTGTTTATATTTAGTTTTTAGTTTGTTATTGTACCTTCTCTACTCGACTAGTCCCTCCCAACTACTAGTAGTAAAACGGAAACCTCATCAAAGAGGAGGAGAGAGGTGTGAGGAGGTTTGAAGCCTTTTTGGTTTGCAGGCAAAAGTGCGCACAGCTTTTTCTCGTTTTGTGCAATTCTGGGGCTTTGCTGCTTTTGTACCCGGCGGCTCCTCTCTTCCGTAGGCCACAGGACCAACCTTTACGTGCATGCATCATCGGTCTGTTTTACTCCGCACTTGAAGGTACTTCTGCCACTTTAATCTAACCGCTGGTACCGGCAGATCTCTCACCACCAACATTGTACATCTAGAGGGACTAGGGACTACCAATGGTACTCCTTGCTCCGTCCGTCTAAAAACAAGTTAAAAGACACATCGGTTGATCTAATAAATTAAAGCAAAAACCTAAAATTTAAATTTGTGAATTGATTTTAAAGTTGATTTTAAAATATTTTTAACACAATTTATTTTAGCGTTGGCTATCTTTAATTGCATCACAGGGAAAAAAATAGACCAAAATATAGTTTCCAATAGGTATAATCCCTTACTTATTTTTCTTGAAATTGGTTATAGGAATACAATCCTGTGGAAAGAAAATATGAGTTAAACATGTCTATAGGACAAAAAAAACCTAAAGAAACTAAATCCTCCAAAAATCCTTTGCCAATCCTCCATTTCAAAGGGACCTTAAAGTTTATCCCAAAATAATTTGATTTTTACTCCCTCCGTCTCCAAATCTAAGGGATTCAAACATTTAAGATTTATCTCCTAAATATAAGGTATTCCACACTTTATCTTTCTTCTTTCCTTGCACTAGAAATACTATTACTAGATCAATCACTATAAAAGTGCTCTTTCTTTGCACCTTTGTACATGACAATCAACCCGGGTTAACAAAACCGATCGATTTTTCACAAATCGCAGACGATCTCGGTTTGTGGAAAACACATCGATTTTAGATAGTTTTCATAGTTCATCGATCGAAAGTTGTTGGTCTTCACTGTATTTTCTACCAGTTTTTGGTAAAACTGCTTTGGAGCAGTTTTTAGTTTCCAAAGTAGGAAGGTAAACCATGCAATCAACTGTAAGCTAGCTACTCCTTTCAAGCACGGTGAAAGAAAAAAAAACAAGAGTAGTAACAGGGGCAGCTAGTAGTTGCACCCTGACAACGGGCGGGAAGCCGACAGCATGTCAACAGCGCAAGATTTCACCCATCATATACAATGAAATTTTTGTCTCCGCTACATGCATGCCTACATGTTGGCTTAATATTGTACTAGATCTACAAGTATAGCTAGGTTAGATGAATGTGCCACATGGTGCGTGAACAACATACACAAAAACATGGACGCATGCACAGATTGTACTCCAGAAATTCAGAGGAAGAAAGATACTCTATACTACTACAAGGTCGCTCTGATTAGCGCGCTAGCTAGCTAGCATTCATACACCTCTTGGAGCACATATGGTACTGTACCTAGAATATCATCATCACTTAATTTCACATGTCACACTTGACAAGGTCTCAAAGTATGAAGAGTTTATATAACTCGGATCAAGCAAAAGGGTGAGGTGAGGGAGCACAATGGAAGAGCCATAGTACATAATCATGTCAAAATTTATGAAATTATCACCTCCCTACTGACGGTGCATATGTACCAACCTATTTAACTCAAAATTTTAAGCTGGTGAGAGAAGATGGGGGAGAAGATGGACAAAGAGCTCCCAGCAGTAGCAGATCCAGAAGATCGATTCGTTCATGTGTCATAACGTGTTTATCGGTGTCATAGTATGCTAATTATGCTTCGATTATGAAGTTATAATATGGATAAACAGTTTCGCTATAGGTTTTACCGAAAGTCGTTGGTGTCGCTTGACACCAGCCCTTCTACTGCAAACTGCATACGGACTAGAGGACCGACTCTCTTGACTCTCCACTCTTGTATAAACATAAGAGGACGTGAATTGATTGCATAATTTGTCCTGTAAATTTGGATGGGTTCGCGCAGAAAATTGGAAACGCGGGCCAAATTTCTCTGTAGCTTGTACCTGCTCTGTACTGTATACCAAAGCTATCAAAATCGTGCAATAACTTTTCCACAGTCGGTGTTAACTATGCATTCGTAGGACTACCTCCGTCCCAAAATAAGTGCAGTAATAAGTTTCCGTGTCTAATTTTGGTCGTCCGTCTTATTTTAAATTTTTTTATGATTAGTATTTTTATTGTTATTAGATTATAAAACATGTATAGTACTTTATCCGTAACTAATTTTTTTTAGTTTTTCTAAAAAAAATTAAATAAGACGAATGATTAAAGTTGGACACGAAAACTCATGGCTGCACTATCTTGTGACGGAGGGAGTATTGGCTTACTGTGATTTAAAACTGTGAGTACTACTGCTAGTTCCAGCTATCTTTTCTGATACGCCTTCTAAGCTCAACTGCTGCTCTAATCTGCCTATGAAGTCTGAAAGTCTGAAACCGAAGAAGTGATGGACTGATGGTCTTCCCTGCATGCATATAGCAGAAAATGTCGAAACTCATTCTGTTCACTTTTCTAAACGAAAAGGACCGTGTAATGACTAATGAGTCATCCCTTGAGATATATTCATATATATACAGGCAGCTGAGGAAAAAAATAATTAGATAGGTGTTAGCTTGATTGTAGGTAATGCTGGTTCCAGAAAAATCAAAGCGTGTTGCTGTAGTCTCGACGTGATTGATAATAACAGAACAAAAGTGAAAGTGCATGTTTTTTTTCCTTTCCATGCTTTGCGACGTAAGCATCGTGCGTCCGGTGCGTCGGTTTATGGAGGTGTTCAGCGCATCAGCAAAAACTGAATCCAAGCAATGACGCACAGAGACAAATACTCCCTCCGTTTCAAAATATTTGACACCGTTGACTTTTTAATACATGTTTGATCATTCGTCTTATTCAAAAAATTTAAGTAATTATTTATTCTTTTCATATCATTTGATTTATTATTAAATATACTTTCATGCACACATATAGTTTTATATATTTCACAAAATTTTTTGAATAAGACAAACGGTCAAACATGTGTTAAAAAGTTAACGGAGGGAGTATTTTCCAAACGGACAAGAAGAAAGAAAACGATGAGATATGGGAGTAAGTATGAACAGCTTGTATTACTGGTCTGTCTTAAGACAATTAATCTAGTAGATTCTATTTACCGTTTCAACAACTTCACTAATCTAATATGCTAAAAAATATAAAAAGGTGAAAAAAAACCCAAATTGGTCCTCTTCGGGGGACAACCCGTAAAAGAAAAATACAGATCGGGGTGAGTTCTAAACAAAAGAGAAATTAAAAAAAAAAGAGGAAGGAAGCTTTTTTTTTTTTAACTTGAGTCTTGACACGACCTTGGAATGCACGACCGGTCGAGCAATGGGCACACGTCGCGCTGCCTTGCCGGAGTCCGGTCAGGGGAGGAGGACGTGGAGCGAGGCGTTCTTGGTGGCCGCGCAGACGGGGCACGCGTCGGCGGCGGCCTCGCAGCCGCGGCACAGGCAGAGGTGCCGGCACGGCAGCAGCAGCACGCACGCGTCCGCCTCGCCGCAGGCCCTGCACGCCCTCCTCCCGTTCCCGCCGCCGGACACCTCGGCTGCGCCTCCGTCGGGCGCCTGCACGAAGCAGCACGACTGCGCGTCCTCGGCATCGCCCTCGCCCTCGGCGGCGGCGGCGGCGGCGGCGCAGGGCGACTGGAGGAGCTGGTCGAGCGTGGCGCGGAGGCCCGCGGCGGCGGCCTCGTGGCTCTTGGCGATGCCCAGCCACGCCTGCCCCTCCGCGCCCATCTGGCGGAGCCTCTCGTCGAGCTCCGCGTTCCGCCCCAGGGCGCGCTCCAGCTCGGCCTCCGCGGCGTGCAGCCGCCGCGCGGCGGCGCGATCCACCGCCGACACCACCGCCCGCAGGTGCCGGCGCCGCGCCTCCTCCAGCCCGGCGCGCAGCCTCTCATTCTGTAGGTAGGTGCAGATCGAGTCAAACGCCCATTCGAGAGAGGAGAGCAGACAAAACGACACGGAGCTCCAGCGCCCATGGCGATAAATAAATGCGCGATCGGTGGCGCGCACCTCGAAGCGGACGAGCGCGTCGACCTCGACGCTCTGGCGGTAGAGATGCGACAACAGGAGGCCACCACCGCAGACAGGGCGGCCGCTGGTGGACGCCGCGCCGGAGCCGACGACCCTGCTGCTACTCTTGTGCACGTCCCCGAACGCCTGCGGCGTCACCTGCGGCGGTGGCGGCGGCAACAGCGCGCGGTGCCCGCCGCCCTCCATGACGCTGCTGCTCATCAACAGACCCGCCGCCGCCTCTCCCTCGCCGCCAACCCGCGCGCGCTTCCGCGGCACGAAGCCGCCGCCGAAGTCGTCAAAGCGGCGCTGGCTACAAGTAAGCTCGCTTCGCAGGTCACTGAACACCGCCGTGTTGTTGTTGTTGCCGCCGCCGCCCACCGCCGCAGCAGCAACAACAAGCTGCTGCTGTAGCAGCGCCGCTGAGACGGCCTCGTCCAGGAACAACGCCGATGCGCCGCTGCTCGGCGCCGCGTTCTCCAGAGCCGGCCTGCGAAGAAAATTGTTAGCCACTCGCGCGAGGATAAATAGGTGGTCGGCAGCGGAAGAGGAAGGAGGAGGAGCGCGAGGCGCATGAGTGCCTAGAGCGCGCGCGCGGGAAGGGAGGCGGGGCCGCGCATGCATGCACGCGCGCGGCGCGGCGCGGGGTGACACGGACCTGATGGCGTACGCCGCGGAGGAGGAGGAGCGGGAGGCGTGGGCGACGTACTGCGCCTGCACGGCCATCATCAACACAAACACCGCAAAACCACCAAACACCGCGCGATGGAGAAGAGGCAGCAGAGCGCGGGGGTTATATATGGGAAGGGGCGGTGGTAAAGACACGTTGGTGCGGGGTGGGGGAAGGGTGGCAATAAAAGGGGGACAAAGCCTGTTCGTCTTGACGAGGTGGGACTAAACTAGAACGAGAAAGATGAGAGGAGGCGGGTGTGGCCTTGACTGGGCGAGCAAGCAACGGATGCGTGGGGTGGCGGATTGATGGGTGCCGGTGCCCGGTGATGGATGATGCCCACCCTAGCTTCCTTTTCTCTCCTCTTCCCTTTCTTTCTCCTCCTTTTCCCCGCCCGCTTTAATAATTTTATCGTTTAGAGCACCCGCAATGGTAAAGTAAAGTGCTCTCTATAAAACATGTATAACTCAGCAATAGACTAGATTAATAGTAAACCACCTCAATAGTATGTCTACATGTGTATCTATAGCTCTCTAATGCATTGCCTCGTTTTTCTCTATAGACTATCTCCAGATTAGTAGATAGCTTTGCTCTCTCTTCATTTAATATCTTCCAAGTAGGAAAATATACTGATATGGATCTCTTATAGAGAGCCTATAGATAACCATTGCGGGTGCCCTTACCATATTCGTCGGAGCATGCACAACATTTCGAGCATTTCGCCCCTGCTTTGCTTTTCGATGCCGCACCGATGGCGAGGCGACGTGGGATTCGGTTCGGGGGCAACGCAAAGACTGCAGCACTGGGCCAGCTCTATCGCCCAAGATAACGTGAAATTTGACAATATGGAGTATCTACTAATACACGCGTCTTTGCTGATTTATCATCTAATCATGGCTTCTAATATATAGCACTGGAGCCATAATTTTTTTATTTCATACCATTTTCTCTTTTTATTCCTTCTCGTGTTCACGGACTATTTTGCCCATAGGCTCACATAACATGAGAACAAAGGTGAAGCCGTAGAGGGAGGGAGGGATAAGATAATACAATAATCTCCCTTCAGTAAAGCCTCAATGATAACAGGGGCATCATAGCGGCAGGGGCGGCGGCAAGGTGTGTCCCTGATGTTGAAGCATAGTGGTGTCGGCGCCAGAGATAAGGGGATCATGACATCGGTGGCGACAGGCCAAGGAGGCGGGCTAGCGGTGGTGGAGCAGCGTTGGGATGCTGCCACATGCACTATGATGGAGGGCCTGGTTTGCGGCAGCGCTCGTTGGAAGCCGTGACTCCCATTTCTTCCAATCCCCTCGCTCTTTCTTTTCCTTGTCGTGTGGGCCTAGGGGCAAAAGAGTACATATAAGTGAGGAGGAGAAATAAAAAAGAAAAGCAAGGAGAAAGTGGCATGTTAAAAAATCATAGTCGCATTATTGTATTTTAGAAGTCATACGAATTGGATAATATATACGCAAATGTGCGCATATTAGATGTTATATTGTCAAATTTATCGTGAGGTAAAGGCTCGTGTTTTACTCAACTGTTCAGAGTCTTTTTCCCCGTTTCTTTCTGTTTTCGCTTGTAAGCAAATGAAGAGTGGCTTAAGCAAGTTGTGTTTGGTGACGCTGGCGTTTCCGTTTTGTGGGTGAACTGTTGATGATAATTCAATACTGGGTGCAGAAGATGTATCAATAATCCCACGAATTAAAGCTAATTAACCCCCTCACCTTTTCCTTCTTTCATGTGCAAGCGTTTTCTGATAGTACGAGAGTACTACTACAGCGTTATTAGTGGCAGTGCTTCCCTTTTCTAAAAAAAGTCATGCGCCTTGGTGACAATTCACGCGAGATATACGATTTTCGATCATACGAGCAGTGAAGCGCCGTACGCACGTACACGATCCGATCGATCCCTTAGCAGCTTTGATCGATCCTCCACGTGTACGGCCACCGCCACACAGCTGCCCACCACGCCGTACGTTTCGTCGTCTTCTTCAGGATTATTAATCCGTATAGGATCGAGTACTTGCAAAGAAAAAAAAACCGAAACAATTAAACCACCCGTACTAATTGGGAGTAAGTATAATTGATAATCCCATGGACGCATTCATAAGTCCTGCCCGGAAAAACCGAGCGATTTTTGAAACGGCTCGTGACCGCGGGGCATCAACGCGCGACACGCCACGAGTATTCGCTGGTCCCATGATATAACGCCAAGTATAGCACTAGTACCTGACGTGATGTGGTAGCTGGGATTTGTTATTGGAGTAAATTTCACACTGAAATGATTTTTTTTAACTAAAGTTTTATAACGGAACATGCCCGACCCATTGTTTGTGCTTAACACCAAGGACGAAGCTATAATATATTTGTGGAATGAAATCCATGACTATATTGTATAGGCTATGAAGATGACACTTGAAATCAAGTAACATTAATAATGCATTACGATACTGATGAGCCAATTTTCTAGCTCCGTCCAGGCTTAACACCATGTATTCATAATTTGCACTTTGGACTGGCCCAATAGTTTGGCTCGGCACGTAGGCTTCAGCCCATGCACACGATCAGGCAGTTGTTGCCCCTTTTCTCTTTTCTCCTCGCACAGGCACCCATGAGGGCCATGGCCCGGCCGCCGCTACAGGTGAAGAGCGCAACACATCTAGTGGCACCGATGGCGTGGGAGGAGGGAAACCTGTGGCTAGCCCGCGCAGGGCCAGGTGGTGAGTCACCGTTGCCAAGCTTGCACAGAAGGCAGCAGCTCCGACATTCACAATGAAAGCATGTCATCGTTGCAAAGCTTGTCAAAACAAAGCAGCTCCGACTTCACCACATACTTGTGTCCTTGTTACCGAGCTCATCACAAACGACCAAGCAGCTCCAACTTCTCATGGCGGACATCAACCAAAGCCACCGTACCACCTCTTCCTGCCTATTGCTGGCACCAGCATGTACACTTAGAAAGAGACTGCAACATGTTATCATTGCCGAGCTTCGTCTCACCCCAACAACAAAGCAGCTTCGACTCCACCTAGCAAAAATCAAACAAGGATATTGGCCACCTGCCACAAAGCAAGAAGCGGATCCAACAAGGAGAAGGTCTCGCTGAACATTTTCGCCTTGTTGAGTGTTGGTGTGGAAGTAGGAAGCCCCGGAGCTAACGTCAAAATCATAACTAGACATGTGCATGAAAAGGTTCTCCAAAGCGGCACCCCCAATAGGGACGAGATGTGAATCGCCGCTGCCGCTTGCCCATTAACCGGGGCAAGACTTTCACCTGGAGCACAATGATGGAAGAAGAGGGAACACGTCTTAACAATGCCTCCGAGAATGGAAACGGCGCCGAAGGCGTTGCCAGAGCCAGAAGGCATGGCAAGGCTTTCGCGTATGGTTCCCTGTGCTCCTACACACCTAACCAATCCGCAGACACGACTATCGCAAGAATGCCGCATTGGCCTCGACTCACCGACCTCCGGCGACCAAGCACCCCGGAGCTCCCCATGGGCACGACCTCACCGACGGCCGCAACCAACGAACAACCTCCACCACATATAACAGCACAAAGCGTCCCCGCGGGCACCGCGTCAACGCCGCACGGCCGCCCAAGCTTCTCGACCAACGCTGCCACCACCAAGCTCGCCGGCGTAGCACGGCCGCCCTGGCTCTTCGCTCGACGCCGTCCAAGCACGCCGGCGGCGCCCAGTCGGCCGGTGTCGTCAGCCGCTGCCACCTGCGTCCCGCCTGCCAGCCGCGCCGTCGCCCGCGTCTCCCACGCCATATGCCGTTGTCTTTCCTGCCAAACACCATCGTCCTCGCGCCACCCACCGCCGTTGCCCACGCCGTCATCAGCTTACCAGCCAGATCCGATGACGACGGGCCGGATCCAGCAACGGAAGGGCCGGATCCGGTGACGGTGGCGGTGCCGGATCCGCAGCCACGCGCCGCGCCGCCGCGAGGCCTCCCCCGCACGCCGTGCCACTTCCTCGCATCGGAGACAGCTCGCCACCGGGGTTTTTGTCCCCGCTGCCGTCATCCTAGTTCCTACGTGGTTTTCGGTGGCGGCGAGGCGGTGAGAGGAGGGGAGGGTGGCGGCGGCCAGGGGCTAGGGTTTGCCCCTGGTCACCCGTGTGTGGACGACCGAAGGCGCGTGGAGCTGATTCCCCCTCATAGGGGTTGTTTGGTTGATGGCTAAGTTCGCCACATCTCACTTTGCCACAAGTATGCTATGCTACACCAAATGATACTAACAATTTGTTGACCATAAGCGTGGCTAAATTTTATAAAAATTTAAGTCTACGATGCGTAGGCCCAAAGATTAGTAAAATGAGGCATGACACAGATGTGACAACCAACCAAAAACTATACTACCAAATTGTGTCATGCCTAATATTTGGCATGGTAATATTTGGGAGCTACCTAAATAGCCCCATAATTTTTGGAGCGGGTGCAACAATGCTACTAGGAGATTTGAAAAACTAAGTTGTGGTAAGTATTATGTGTTGCCACAGTACGTCATGAAGTTCATGTAAAGTGTATATCTATTATAATGTGAGCAAAATAAATCTATTAGCTTAAAGAAACACTTGTGTCACAGTCACTACGTATCAAGTTAAGTGTATATATTAACTCTACTGGTGAGCTAGGATTTGTTAGTGGCGTGGTTGGCGCCTGCCCGCTGGGTCTTCTAGGCAGAGCTTTGGATGTGAGACCGAGTGGCAATGCAAGGCAAATGATTAAGATGGAACCGAGAAAGAAGCAAGTGCTATTATACAAAGACCAGCAGCGACTTTTTTTTTCTTTCGAAACACATCCCTTTAATTACATACATGCATACACTACCTCTATAATTAGCTCTGACAAACTGTACCGACATATCTTGAAATTTAGGGTTGTTGAAATGCTGGGCCAAAAAAAAAACAAAGAGCTGCACTGCCTGTTACTTGAAAGGAGCAAGTATCAGAAATACAAACAGTAGCCTTTAGGAGCTGAAGTACCAGAAATTTAGGAGCTGGAACTAACAAAATGTCTGTCTTGCACTGAGATTTATGCCACCAAAAACCTTACAGATCAACTAAAAGAGGGGGGGGGGGGGGGGGGGCGCAGAAGTAGTCTCATTTCTTAAGTGCATTCATCCTGTCCCGCAGGTAATACAACTTTGCTCTCCTGACTTTCTTCCTGTCCAAGACTTTGATTTCTTTGATGTTTGGAGAGTAACTGAGCACAAAAGAAAGGTTGCATCAAGAAAGACTGAAAGTCAAAACAAAATGAATCATGTGTAAAGATATCTTTCATATTTGACTCCAGCAACTTATGATAATTTTGTATGAAAAATTTAGATGAACTACAGAACAAGGGGAAGAGAGAACAAGAAATAGTAAGTAAATATATATGAAAACATCCTATTGCATTACTTCTATTCTAGAAATATACCCACAACACCACAGTGGTGAAGGAACATGTGTTTCTAGTGGTGAAAATTGCAGTTTCGTCCGAGCTGAACGTGCATATTTATGGAACTACATTCTACAAGCTCCATGTGCAATAGAGCTCAAACACACACAGGAGTTTATTGCACATCTGTTCTATCAAGTACTATCGATATCAAATCTCGGCATTCACTTTCTTAGGAATTTGTTAACAAGGTATTTATCAATATATGATTAAGAAAGTTATACTTGGATTTACAGAATGCAAACAACGAAGGTAGTGCGCAGAAGTAGTCTCATTTCTTAAGTGCATTCATCCTGTCCCGCAGGTAATACAACTTTGCTCTCCTGACTTTCTTCCTGTCCAAGACCTTGATTTCTTTGATGTTTGGAGAGTAACTGAGCACAAAAGAAAGGTTGCATCAAGAAAGACTGAAAGTCAAAACAAAATGAATCATGTGTAAAGATATCTTTCATATTTGACTCCAGCAACTTATGATAATTTTGTATGAAAAATTTAGATGAACTACAGAACAAGGGGAAGAGAGAACAAGAAATAGTAAGTAAATATATATGAAAATATCCTATTGCATTACTTCCATTCTAGAAATATACCCACAACACCACAGTGGTGAAGGAACATGTGTTTCTAGTGGTGAAAATTGCAGTTTCGTCCGAGCTGAACGTGCATATTTATGGAACTACATTCTACAAGCTCCATGTGCAATAGAGCTCAAACACACACAGGAGTTTATTGCACATCTGTTCTATCAAGTACTATCGATATCAAATCTCGGCATTCACTTTCTTAGGAATTTGTTAACAAGGTATTTATCAATATATGATTATGAAAGTTATACTTGGATTTACAGAATGCAAACAACGAAGGTAGTGCTAGCATGCCACTGTTATCATCAGCCTATTAGGGATATCAAGAAGGCTAAGGATACCCAAGAAACAAAAACACCAAACTTGAATGAGCATTTCTAAATTTGCAAGCAGATAACTACACTTCTAATGCAAAATAACACGCCTATAGTTCTATGTTCACTTGTAGCCATATGGAACCGAAAGTATGTTTACGCACAATCAAAGAAAACAATCCTGTCTACCAAGCAAAAAAATAGTGAGAATAGCCTGCTCAAACCTTAAAGTATTAAGTACTGTATGATGCACAGTTCTCACATTTGAATGAACAATTAGTCACTCATGAGACCAAGAGGTGATTCGATATCTCTATATGCATTTCTTTTAAGAAAAAAAAAGATGAGGCGGCAAAAGGGAAGCAAATATTTGGTGTCACTTAACAGTGGAAAGACAGACTCGACTCCAACACCAGCTACTAATCTACGCAGTCTGAAAGTTGTATTGATCCCAGCATTGCGTCTTGCTATGACAATGCCTTTCAACGTAGACTCGCGCCGCTTCTTCTCAGGAACTTGCTGTTTTTTACACACATAATCAGAACGGCAGAAATGACCGAGCAGACAAAATACCAGTAAACTGAGGATGCAGATGCTTTACCAGTCTCATTTGGAGAATACATCCAGGCTGCACATCAGGAATCTCTCTTTCCCCAAGTACCTTGTCAGCTGCCTCCATGTTCAAGATCTGAAACACAAAATAACAAATATGTCCTGCTTCTTTTAAGTGCTCATTTTGACACAACTGTAAGTTTCTTGGATATGTCATTTGCACAATACTAGGCTTACATTCGTAAGAGCAAGGCTAATAATACAGCCAATTATTTACTATATAAATTTTTATAGTCTATTTTTTTACTCACTCATATAGTGATTAGCTCTTCACTATAAGTCTACTGTCTGTCTCACAGATTTTATTGATTTTTGTGCCTAAGCCGGTTGTAAACTTACAGCCTGTTTCTCATCTCTTTCCTCTCCTCTCTCATCCACCTCAGCATTTAGCCATCTTAGAGCAAGTTTAATAGTATAGCCCACTACTAGCTCCAATTCATATATAGTCAATCTAATAGCCAATTCATACAATAGTTGCTTACTATACTATTAATATATGGTCCCATCTGTCATACACACCGCGTCTTAGAGTTCGTGCTAAAGCTGGCTACAGATCTGTAGCCCGCTGCTCTTCTATCTCATCTTTTATCTCATTAAAATATGTTTATAGCTGGCTAATAGTCTGCTATTGTACCTGCTCTTACAGTTACAGCTCTCTATTATACTTGCTCTAGCGTGCATAGCCGTCTTGTCAGGCCTCTTGAGAGCAAGTTTAATAGTATAGCCAACTGTTGGCTCCAATTCATCTGTAGTCAACTTAATGGCCAATTCATACAATAGTTACCTATAAACATATACTACATAATTAATATCTGGTCCCACCTATCATATAACATGCATCTTAGAGTCTGTGCTGCAGCTGGCTATAAATCTGTAGCTCGCTGCACTTCTCTCTCCTCTTTTATTTTCTTAAAATATGTTTATAGTTGGCTTATAGCCTACTATTATACCTGCTCTGAACTTAATGCACGGAGGATGGTCTGCAGAAACCTCAGCACTCCCCACTGTCGATAGACCCCTCATTGACATGGTATTCACGCAGAACCCACCGGGATGAACGCTGTCACCGGAAATGATTGGATTCTGTACGCATCAAGAAACCGAAGCGACAGGCATGACCAAAAATTAGCAGGATCACAGACAGCGGAAAGGAAACAAACACAACTGATATCCCGGATGCAAACCACGCACCCCGAATGGACGAATCCAGCTGCAGCAGGGCCTCAGGTGTTCGATGGACAGCGCAGGTTAGAGCAACAAGCTCACTTTCTACTATTAACCTATCTTGAAACCAACGTATATAATATATTATCTATAAGATTGATTATACTTTTTTTCTCCTACCTCTATCTCTCACTTATACATTTAATACATTTGTCTTGAAACTTGTGATAAGTTAGCTCTTATATAAGAGCAAGTTCAATAGTATAACCTACTACTAACTCCAATTCAGTTATAGCCAATCTAATAGCTAATTCATACAATAGTTGCTTACTATACTATTAATATATGGTCCTATTTGTTATACACACACTGTGTTTTGGAGTCTATGCTGCAGCTGGCTACAGATCTGTAGCCCGCTGCTCTTCTCTCTCATCTTCAATCTCATTAAAATATGTTTATAGCTGGTTAATAGTGTGCTATTGTACCTGCTCTAAGAGCCAACACCCTTAATTTTTCACTACCTCTTTTCTTCACCTAAATTTATAGTAAGCTTATATAGCTCACTATTATACTTACTCTTAGCGCCCGACTGCGCGATTTCAGAGGCTGCAGAGCTCAACAGTTTCGCGGCGGAGCCATGGCTTCCGGCAAGATGGACACGCCGCAGCAGAGATTGCATCTTCCGAAAAGCAAGGACTACTGCCAAGGCAAAAACCAATCTATAAGCAAGGACTAACTAGTAACTACTGTGCATGCTCTAACGCAGCTCTCATATGGTAATCGCTCGTTGCGTTTCATGTGACAAACGTTAACTGGCGACAATGCAATATATGGTGATGGCCCCGTCGTGATCGTCGGCGGTGAGAGTGAGCAGTATAGCACAGTTGACCGCAGAGAGAGATACATGTCGTGGCCTTAATTAATTAGCTACGCCTCTGTTGATGCACAGAGAGATCGATGTGCACATTGTGCAGACCGAACGAGCAGGACTACTCGGTATAGTTTAGTACTGAGGAAGACGGAATACGGTTGTGGGTTGAAAAGGGTACCGTTAACCGATTAATGAAAATTTATCGTTCGTGAATAATATACAAATTTTACAATATTATATACTTTTTTTAAAGATTTAGACGTGTACAACTATATAAATCAAATACTACATCCGTTTCACAATGTAAGACTTTCTATCATTGCCCACATTTATAAAGATGTGAATGAATCTAAATATCCATGTGTCTAGATTCATTAACATCCATATGAATGTAGACAATACTAGAAAGTCTTACATTATAAAACAGAGTAAATATCTTCATATTGTTTTTTAATTAACAGATAAGTAAAACATTAACTCTTCTAACACCGGATTTATATATCACATGGTGGTAGAATTGGTTATACTCCCTCCGTTTTTTAATAGATGACGCCGTTGACTTTTTCTCACATGTTTGACCATTCGTCTTATTCAAAAATTTTACATAATTATAATTTATTTTATTATGAGTTGTTTTAGCACTCATAGTACTTTAAGTGTGATTTATATCTTATACATTTGCATAAATTTTTTAAATAAGACGAATGGTCAAACATGCGAGAAAAAGTCAACGACGTCATCTATTAAAATATGGAGGTAGTATTAAATAAGTAAAACATAGAAATATATGTAAAAAAAAAAACAATTCTAAATTAAGTAAAGAAAACTACCCTAATTCATCATCAAATTCAACATACATACGATTATTCAGGTGATTAAACGTGAAACGACTAACTAATCGCTAAAAGCGGAGTTTTAACGTTTGTGAACTATAAAATGTACATTGTATCACGTTAACGGAACGGTTTTACTACCGTGATCGTATATACGGCCGATTAGTCGGTCGGTACAGCCGTTTTCCATAACATATAGTTTTGCACTAGTTCATCTATGTACGCGTCCGGTGACTGGTCCACTTTCTTCGGATTACTTCGCAGAAAGAAATTAAACGGCCGGTGCACAATATATTTTCTACAGTTGTGTGCTGCTCCTGTGGGTGCGCAAAGCGATAAAAGGCTTGTGATAAACGCGTCGATCAAATCACGACTCCCACGGGCCACGGCCGTCTCGCGTTGATTTTCTTGGCTAGGGCCCCGAGCCGGCCGGGGCAAACGACGTCGCCACTCGCCACTGCCCACTGCGTAGTCCAGATGTGAATTAATGTACGCATCTGGTGTTATATACTCCCTCTAATTTTATAATACTTCCTCCGTATTTTATTTTAATATATGACGCTTTTAATGTATGACGCCGTTGATTTTTTAACCAACGTTTGATCACTCGTCTTATTTAAATTTTTTATGCAAATATAAAAATACTTATGTCATGCTTAAAGAACATTTGATGATAAATCAAGGTCACAATAAAATAAATTATAATTACATAATTTTTTAATAAGACGAAAGGTCAAACGTTTGTTAAAAAATTAATGGCGTCATACATTAAAATACGGAGGGAGTACTATGATATTTTCATATATCCCACACATAGCAATATAAAATCAAAGAGATTATAATACCTCAGCTTATCTAATCATAATATAGTTATTTATCTCTTTATCTGCGTTAAATACATTTTGTCTTCTATTTTTATAAATCATGATATACTAATAATTAATTGAACATAAATTTATTTTGAGATGAAGAGAGTATTGTGCATGGCCGTGGGGATCTTGATTTGGTGGCCACCGCAAGCTATTATTCCCTTTGTCCCAAAAACTTAATATATTACTAGATGTTGACATATTCTAGTAGTACTATAAATCTGGACAGAGATTTGTTTAGATTTATAGTGCTAGGACATAATCTAGTAGTATAAATCTGGACATAGATATGTCTAGATTTGTAGTGCTAGGTCACTATAAAGATGAGTTTTTTTAGAATGGAGGAAGTAGCATTCCCAGATGAGCAACGGCGGCATCGATCTACTAGCTACTTCCTCTGTCCCAAAACATAAGCATTTTTAGCATAGTGCCAAGTAGGGTTGTCAACAAGCCGAGCTCGAGCGAGCTCACCTGCCTAGGCTCGAGCTCGATATAAGCTCGAGCCGAGCTTATAAAATATTTAAGCTTTCATACAGGCTCGGTTCGAGCTCGATCAAGCTCGAGCTCGACTACCGTGCTCGATTTTTAATTAGAACAATGTATATTTCAAATGATAAATTTTTAAAAATAATTAATTTATGGTTTATCATATTAGTAGAAGAGGAAAAAAAATAAAACAAATATATTATGCCAATACAAGGCATATAAATAACATATTTGATCTACCAATTTATTAAATAGCAATAAAAAATCATATATTACTAGGCTCGTTAGAAGCTCGAGCTCGGCTCGACAAAGCTCACGAGCTTTGGGACAGGCTCGGGCTCGGCTCGTTTGGAGCTCGAGCCGAGCTCGAATTAAGCCTAGGACGAGTCGAGCTCAAGTAGCTCGTGAGCCTCGAGCTTTTTTGACAACCCTAGTGCCAAGTCAAATATTTATAACTTTGGCTATTAATAGCAAAAATATAAAAAGATCAATTATGTAAAATTGATGTTACTAGATTTATCATTAAACAAACTATCACAATATGCAACTTTTTTTTATTTAAAACATCTTATTTTTATATAGATATCGTTGATCAAAGTAGCATCTCGAAGACCGTATCGAAGTCCAAAAATACTTACTCCCTCCGTCCCACAATATAAGGGATTTTGAGTTTTTGATTGTAACGTTTGACCACTCGTCTTATTTATTTTTTTTGCAAATATAAAAAACGAAAAGTTGTGCTTAAAGTACTGTAGACAATAAAGTAAGTCACAAATAAAATAAATAATAATTTCAAAAATTTTTGAATAATTCGAGTGGTCAAACGTTATAAGAAAAACTCAAAATTCCTTATATTATGAGACGGAGGGAGTATATTTTAGGACGGAGGGAGTACGTTTTCTTTCTTTTTAGTTCTGTTTGCCATGGCAGATTTGCAGGCACGAATGGTGATCGAAGTGAATCGTACGC